CACCTGCAGATTAATTGCACATCATGGTCTGCAATAAACCAAGCTGTTCTCAAGGTCAGGGCAGCATTTTAACCTAAATACAGTTCTTTACCCTGTTTACTGTGAATATCCTCTGATTGTATGTCATGAGCCATGTGAGCAGCTATGGAGGCCCCATTTTCAGAATATAGTGCAGAAACCAACATCAGGGATTCTATTAACATCCTATGAATATGACTTTTTTCCTTCACCAGCTTTATCATAAAACTCCACAAGCTTGCCTACAGTCTTATTTGCCAGCAGCTACTTCCATAAAGCTCGCTGACATCAAATCAATGCTCTGTGTGAGTGTTATCTTGTGTGGTTATTGATGTTTTGTATCAGAGTAATCTGTCCTGATTGTACAACACATTAGCTTTGTGATGCGTACAAAGCTTAGGGAAGACTTTATGCTGTTAATATGGCATGTTCTAGTGTTTCACTTTCAGTACAACACAAACTGCTTCTGACAGCGAAAAAAGTCATTTTTGGAAAGCATCACTCGAGCTATTCGTGACCAGTGACCTTTTTGTTTTAATTAAAATATTTAGTTACTTTCCTGAGAGCTTTAATTTGAAGCAACTTTTTGGCTCTTGAAAACGTTTCACCTCTTAGCCAAGAGGCTTCTTTAGTTCAAAGAGAAGCCCAGCTGCTTTTTACTGATGCTCTTAGATTACCCTTACCTGGGTGACTGAGAATACACACAGATATTTACTTTTTTTTTTTTTTCTTCCTCTTGCATTCTTTTACATTTGGCCCTTGAATTGTCCTGGTGAAGGTTCTGCATGTAAAGTTTTCCCACTGAAATCAAACACGGTGTTGCTATTTGTGTGATTTTTATTTTATTTTTTTTTAAAGAAATGTAGTTGCCATTTATGACCTTATGATTCAGAGACATGAATGAGTGCAGACAGCTAGTTTGTGTTTAATAGAAATTTTTTACTTGATTAGTAAATAATAACTGTGTAGAACTGGCAGGCTGTACTCTTTTTGTTTGGCCTCAAAGGCATGTCCTGCATCCCTTCCGCTGCAAATACTTTAATTTACCACAGCATGAGTTATGTAAACCACTGCTACTGATATGCAGCCTTGCAGCTTTAAAGAGGATCGATCACAGCAGCCAGGCCCTTTCTGATGGAACATAAAATGTTGCAAAGTAAAACTGTAAGTTCTTTACAGTCTGTACAACATACAGTCAACATCCAAAGCTAACTCTCTCATGTGACTGGCCTCCACACATTTTTCATGTAAAAAACACACAGATATCTGCGCTACACTCCAAAAGTAATTCAAGGGAGCTATTCACATCGCCTAAATGCATGGTTGCAAGATAAAGAAAAATGTAATTTACAATTTAAGTTGCAAACATCATTTTGATAGGTTGGGCTGACATAATGATGTTGGTAATTGCATCAACCTAATGTTGTGTTAGTATTTGATTTAAAAGTAAATTCAATTTGAGAAAACTTAATGAAATTGGCTTGATAATGTAATTTTTCTTCACCTTGAGGTCAGAATTTCCTAATGTAACAGACCAAATTGAGGTGGTTAAAGCTGGTCATTCAAAATACCCTTGACTGTCGGGGAAAAGCTAATTCACCTAACTCACTGTAGTTTGTTGTTTGAACAAAATTTCAGTAGAAGCTGTTGTAACTCAAAAAGATTGATGCAAACTGTTGCTTTTATTGTTTTCCAGACTTACCAGTTTACAATAAAGGGCTTTGCAGTGTTTGTCAAATCTATTTTGCCAATCTGCCACTTTGATATCATTTTGAAGCTTTTTTCTGATCCAAAAAAACAAAACAAAAACCCCCCCCCAAAAATAGTTTTTCTGTTGAGGCAGTAAAATTATTATTTTTAAATCAAGGTGCACCTAATGCATCTCCTTTTACCAGATGATTTGTGTGCGTGCTTAAAGAAAATCTATTTTAGAATTCCTTCACGTCTTACGAAATGCTGCACCATTTTAAGCAGCAGCTAAATTTGCTAAAATCTTAAAATGTCCCTGAAAAGCTAAATAAAGCACGCAGCTGTTTTGTCAAAGAAGCTTTTGTAAGCTTCTAATTTGTAATTCAGGAGCGACTGGATCTGCCAGTTCAGTGGCAAAAAAATAAAAAAATACCCCGTGTTGAAGTATTCCTGTTTTTCCACAGAGGGAGCACTTGTGTTGTGTACAGTCTCTCAGTCACTCTGATTCCCTCCATCTGCTGTTGAACTGCTCCTTGTGCTTCTGAATTACATTCACATGTTGTTGTCTCCCTCTGCAGGGCGTCAGCAGAGCTCAGCACTGTGCCTTAGTTTCCTCTTGTCACACTATCCATCCATTCATTATCTATACACCGCTTAATCCTCAGGGTCGCGGGGGGGCTGGAGCCTATCCCAGCTGACTTAGGGTGAAGACAGGGGACACCCTGGACAGGTCACCAGTCCATCGCAGGGCCACACTTAGAGACAGACAACCAAGCACACTCACATTCACACCTACGGACAATTTAGGCAACGATGCTAACCATCGAGCCACCTTGCAGCTCACACACAGTTATCAATATAATACAGAGTATAAATAAACATTAGCATGACTGAGCATACAGTATTTGCATGCTTTGTTTTTCATCATTCATATACAGTCATATGCAATAATCAGATTCCATCCTGTATGTCACTTCTAAACTAATTTTCCAGGCTAGGTTTCTCATGTGTCAAATTCTGTTGAAAACTTTAATTTTGAGTTCTACTAAATGGAAAGGAACTGGTGGAGTTTTTTTAAAAAATTTTTTTTATAAGGAAGACAGCACATTGGCATCATTCATCTCTAAGATTGGCAGAGTTAATTATTGGCTTTATTTGGATGTTTTGATGCTCCACCTAGTCAGTTCAATTGCCACTTTAGCATTCAGAGGAGCATTTATACACCTGAAGCACAGGAAACTGACTCATGTCTCTGAGAAAATGATGTTTAGTTTTCTGAAAACGGACAGTATCATCTTTATTCCTCACAAACAGCCTGTTATACTGTTGCTCTACAGCTGACCTTGTAGCTTCTTTTTTTTTTAAAAAGGGGAAAAAAAGTTATATTTTAACACCAAATCAACTCACCTAGATGTGAATGTGCAATTTAAAAATCTGGATTTTAGTATGTGTGAGATTTAATAATTGTGTAATGTGGTGGCCAGTTCAGCATGATGTCTTTTGTGTCAGGATGAGCTCAGCCCTTCTTCTTTTTTCGTTTTTTTTGTCGAAAAAGCACAAAAGTGAGCTGAATGAAATGCCAAGCTCATCATGTATTTCATTCTTATCCAATTTCACACAGCAAATCTGTATGCACTCCAAACTCATTACGCCATAGAGTACTAAAGGGCGCATGAGTCATCAAGGCATATCTGTATGAGTGGGCTGCAGACGGCTCATGCAGAGGAGCCCACGTGCTGCTTTTTCAGCCTTGGTGATGTCATAACCAGAGACTTCCTGAACACAAGGTTCATTCACCGAGCCCTCCTCCCGACACGGGGACAGAGCACCAAACAAGCCATCTCCATGGCAACTGCAGCCTCCGGGCATGTGAGTCCCCTTCTTGTTGTTTGTTATTTGAGGGAGGATTTGAGTTTGAAACTGTGTGTGTACTGTCCACAATCACGTGTGCCCGTGTAAACAGCACACAACATTCCTAGGTTCAAGTTCTGAATATTTTTATGTTGTATATAAACAAACAAGCTGGGTCTCCCATGAGTCCATCTGCTCCTGGCTCAAAGCAGGAGGAGAGCACTTGATGAGTCACTGTCTACTGTGGGTCCACTAATATTCAATTTTCCTCGTATGACCGGCACTGTAGAGAGTGAAGAGACACCTTTGAGCTGTCTCTACTCTGCACATGAGAGATTAAACTCAACTTTAAGTGAAAGTCTTTTTTATTTTTTTCTTACCTCATTGACATGTCCATGTGATGTTTTTATACACTGGAACACATGCGGTTATGGTCACGCCATAAAATTTTTTTTTTAAAACCCATTCAGTGCTTCCTACCTGAACCCCTCAGAATCAGCTGATTCTTTCGTAAGTTCTTTCAAAGGTGCAGTCCCTTCAAGTACATGAGGGTGGGTTTGAAATGTCATGCTTTTTAATTTGAGCTATTTTGTCCAGCATTTTTGAGCCCTCTTCACATGTAAAAGTGATGGACATGAACTTTTTTGGGGCTAAAAAAAACCACATTGAGCTCTGCTAAGAACTGCAACCAACTCAATTGCACATCCACTCCAGGTCGCACAAACTAAAGCCAAAATCTCATTTTTGTTCCTCGTGTTTTTCTCTCCAACCAAATTTGAGCATCTGTGTCAATGGATATGGAGTTACTTTTAAAAGTTTAAAAGTATAACAGATCACACATTCAGACTACCCATACTTCTTTCTGTTCTTTCTATTTCTCTTTTTTGATAGACATTAAACTGGTGCAGTTTTGAAAATATGATCATATTCCAAGATATTGATGCTCAAAGTTGATTATAGAGGAAAAATTGGCTGAACACAAACATGAGTCTGTCTTGAGATTGTGATGTCTAGAAATGATGTAAAATTGATTTAGTTGCAGCTTTTAACAGAGCTGCATCTTCCCTGAAGATTTCATGTGTCTGTCTCCTGTACATATAAAGCTATGAAGGCTCACAAATGCTGGAAAAAATAACACAAACTAAAAAGTACAATTTTGAAACACCCCTGTGTACTTCAATGGCCGGTAACTTGGAAAATATTAATAGTATGAAGGTGAAAATTTACATAACCTCATTAAATATACTAAAGTTATTGTAGCTGAGTCTGTGGAGGTCAGGTAGGAAGCACTGACTTATTTTCATGAAAATGAAAATTGAACTATGATCATTTTTTTCGGGGTTTAATCAATGCTAAGACTTAAAGGTTCTGGGACAAGAACTCATTCATGGTAATGTGTTTATGAGAGAAACAGGAGAAATGACACATTAAAGCAAGGACAGTCATGTTGTATATGGTTATTATTTATTGCTTCTTTTAGGGATACAAAAATAGCATGAATAGACATTTTTAAAGAGGCACAAAGACTCAAAATGAAACATGTACATGACAACTATCAACACATAAAATAAAATAAGACAGTATTAAAACCTTCCCAAAGATATCTTAAAAGACTATAAAATAATAACAACAAACACATTAACAAAAATATATAGCTATTAAGGATAAGTGTATCATAATTCCCTACAGAAGGAGTTTTACATGGTAATAAAACAGAAGATATAATGATGACTATAACATTGTGTAGTTTTACACAACATGACAGATAACGATACACAACAAAAAAACAAAAACAAATTGCTTCTACTTTAGACTCGTCCGACTTTATTGGAACACTTTGTATCTGATATTTACACAAAAGGGGAAAAACTATTAATATTTATTACATTCAAGAAATGTCAAATGCACTTGTGCTGTACTGGCTCAATGAGAAGTATCCTTTTTAAAAAAAATCAACATTAGTCTTGCTAATATTACAAAATATAATCCTTTTTTTTTTCTCTATCAAATAGGTCCATATCAAATGTTAAACATTGTGATTCAGTCTTATGTTTTACGTGTTTTTACAGTTTTATACTCAACAGTTTTCTCTTTACAATCACCTGGCACTTTTATTGTACTCCAATTCCTTCAGTGAAATATAATATCACAAAAACATTTTTAAACTAGTGCTTTCCTCATCAAAGCAAGCTATATTAGCATATCAGTAACTCTTACTGTATACCTTATTGTGCTTGATGGGGGTTACAGAACATTAAAATTATGCGCTTTACACCTGCAAGCATGAAGGTTCTGCATAGGCAGCTTTTAGTATGATGATTGTCATTATGAATACAACTGTACACAAGAACATACACACAGTTTAAGCTTTGGATATTTTGTTTAAGACTGTGGAAACACCCACAGACGTTATTACAATCAATACATTAAAAAAAAAAAGAAAACAGGCACAAAATGATTAAAAAACCAAGGAGACCACCTTCAAATCCAAGTGTGTAAATTGTCTCGCTACAGCTTGCATGAGCTGGAATACATTTTTAAATGATTTTCAATGCAAATGTCGAAAACAAACACATGGGCAGAGAATCATTTTTAAAAATGTAGGCCCATGCTATCGCTGTGAAGCTAGTTTGGCACCTGAATATAATTGAATATATATTTAAATGAATGTAAAATGGTACATTATTCACATGACTCAAATATTAAAAAGGAATAACATTGCCCCCCATTATTAAAAACAGTGCATATCAGGAGGTGTCACAATAGTTCATTGGTATATGGTTAAGGCTGTGTGCGCTTCACTTCAATTAGAAAACTGCACTTAAAATGAGATGATTAGAATGTAAGCTTTGGACAATTCTTTCATGTAAAACTACATACAAAGGTACACAGACAAAAACACTCTTTGTGCAAGAAGAATTGAAAAATATGGGGGGAAAAAGTTTTTGGCCACAAGAAATGTCTAAAGATTGTATTTGGGAGGACTTTTTGGTGTCACACTAATACCCTGCTGGAAATTTCTGCGTGCTACGTAACATTATCCACTATTATGAGGCAAACAGGTGGGAGTTTTAGAGGGACTTTATTTATTTTCCCCCCATTTTACTTAGATTGTATGTAAAAGATGGATGTAGTGACTTGCTTTGTGGATTGATATTTCAAAGCTGTGAGTTTGCTTCCTGGGTCTTCTGAGTTTTTGGAGGAAGAAGTGATCATATTCAGAAGAGAGGTTGGATCTGGACAGGAGCGAGGGACGGGACTAGCTGAATGTCCGAGAACACTCTGCCTATACTGACCGGACTAATGTTCCACTGTGTAAATTTTGTGATCACTCCTGACCAGAAATGTCAGTCGAGCCAGCCACCCCTCTGAAAGTCACGCACTTTGAGGCCTTATGGAATCATTTTCACATAGACTGCCAAAACCCTGCTCAGAAAGGGGAAATTCAGCAAAAAAAAAATCTTGCAGAGAAAATGTATTTTGGCATCAACACCTAGGGGTGCTCACTGGTGTTGCACTTTAAGGCACTTGTGCATTGACGTCACGTTTCAGAAGTTGCCACGTCCATCATTTATATACAGCCTGTGCCATTTTATCTCTCTTTGTTTGTTTCTGAGCTTCAGCCTTGGAAACCTGTTGAGTGTTGGTAGCAGACGCTGTGGGTCAATGAAATCTTCTGTTTGCCGAATGTTTATTGCAGAAAAACATCCAAAGCAAACACAGCAACCAGGAGCTGAAATCTTTATCTCTGTGGGTAAAGAAAATGAGGAAGAGAAGGTCTGATTGTTGGTGGAAGTGCGTCACCTCAGTGGAAGGTTGAAGTCTCTGTGTGTTTGCGTGTCTGTCTGCGTGAACTGGATATGTTGTCATTTCCCGGTCAGGTCCCTCCTCTATGTCTGCCCCCTGGCTTGAACGCCCGTCAGATCCTTTCTTATGATCTCATTCACTGTAAAGCAAATAAAGAGAGGCATATTAGAACGCAACAGGATCAACGTAAGAGATTTTACAATCAAACCTCAAAATGGTGACAAAACAGAACCCTGTTGACAGAAGTGTCATCGATCATATTCCCAAAAGACTGTTGATGGATACATTGACATTTCTGCGTAGGGCTTTGATGGAAGGCAGACAAATGCTGCATTAATGTCTTGCCACCTCTAGAGGTAGCAAGCAATCACTTGCAGTTGCTCAGCAGTTACAAGTGTGTGTCTACACACATCAACAGAAGAGGAAGAGGGTTGAAATGGAAACTTTCAAGGTGTCATAGTTCTAAAAATAGGAGCTCAATGTGCGAGGGGACATAATACGTCAAAATCAAACTAACTTATTTCAAGATTGAATAAGTGAAATTCTTCAGCCAGGATAAAACACACAGGTTCTGATTGTTTTCGAGCTTTGTTGCACTTGTCTTCTGATAAAATAACCCCTGATAGTAAAGCGAAGAGGAAGTAACTACCTGTGACACAGATGTAGTTTCACCTCCCACTGGCTCAGTCAGAACTACCTGAGCCAGAACGCCTGCTCAGGTAGTTCTGCACTGAGCAGGAAGGAATGACGAGAATGTGTAACATGTCATCCCTCCAGATATGCCACACCGAGCTCAATGCTCTGGAGTTTGTCAGAGAGCTCAGGCCTGCAGGACTACTGTGTGTCTGTCTGTGTACACTGGCACTCCGAGACATTATAGGCTGGTGCCACTGCTTCCACTCTGCCTCAGGGAGCTCATTAGGGCCGATGAGTAATCTAAGTATTTTAGATTCGTCCAAAAAACCTTTTTGCCTGTGACCAAGTCATTACAGAGCATATCGTGTCTGTGATTGTGTAACCATGGCAATGGCCTTCATTGGGGAACGGGGCTATTAAAGTGTTTCATGTTAAAATGTGAATATCAGTGTGAGTAGTCCTTTTAGTAGTCTGTTTAGGAGTTTTTGGCATATCGTGTTAGTTTGCCATAGTGTTTGTTGTGTAATGCCCTTAAGAGGGTTCCTCTGTTCCTGTTTTGGCTTGTCACAATTAGATCGGCTAAAGAATGGAAGTTTGCTTACGAGCTTGGTCAAAAAGTGAATCTGTATTTAAAACAACCCACTATATAGTACTGAGAAACATAATATGCAGTATGAACCTCATAGTACTATGCAGTAGGGAACTGTTAAATCATATTATTTTGCAGCATGCTAGGGCAGGCTTAACCGTTTTATGGTTTTCGAAAGCTAAAGGTGAGCTGTGAAAGAAAATTAATCGAACAGAAAAATAATAATTATACCTTGGCCTGCAATAAAACAGTATACAGCTCAAGTCAGCCAGGAATTCCTCTGATGGCAAAGTCTATATAGAAGTATAATGTTGGCAAAGTTGTTTTGAAGTCCTAAAGTTGCATACTACAAAGTACATTTTGGCCAAATCAGCACCAACTGCTAGCATAGTCAGAGGTTTCAAACACAGCCTTAGTCTTGCATAGCCGGACCATTCAGTTGTGCTGACACAACGCTGTGTAGAATGGTCTGACCGCACCTCATTATCTTTCTGCTTTAGGAAAACAACAAAACCCTGAAACCCTTGCTTGTTTGTATTCTTGAAACCAATCACAATCCTCTTGTGGAGAGCTAACAACAGGATGTGCCAACGGTATTCACAAATCCTCAGCAAAACTTAAACTTTTCAGTGTGTAGGTTGCTGCCTGGAGGTTGCTGTTGTTTCCTGTGGTGCAGAAAAAGAAACGCACGGCTAATAACAGGCTTATACCCGCCATCTACATCCAGTGTCTCAGACAATCCAAAAGTTAAAAACATATTATGAATCTAATCATCTGCTGGCTGACTTTTAACAGACAAATATGATAAGGGCATCAATGCCATCAGTCTGAATAAACAATAATCTAAATATGTTAGACTATATTGCAATACTCCCTTCACTTCAAACTGATAAACATGAATAATGTTATGATTAGCTGATTTGCTACTGAAAGAAGCTTAAAAAACTTCTGAATGCTGCTATTTTGCACTGCCTCGTTTTAGAGGTAGAGGAACTGTTGTCAACTGACTTGTCTACATGCTATTTAAAGCCTTGATTTACATAGCAGGGTAGCAAAGGATGTAACCATTAAAACTAGTACAGCAACAAATTCAGAGACATCTCACCTACTCAAAAGCATCTCTGAGCTGATGACGGACTGTGAAGGGCAAAACAGACCTCGGCACAAAATGAACTTAACTGTTGCAAGGAGATGGCATGTTTTTATTTTGGGTTGTAAATAAAAGCAGTTTGGACTGGGATAGAAAATAGACTTTTAAGGGTTTTAACCGTTATTAGACAGAGAGTGGAGCCAGATAAGATTTGTGGGGGCGGGAAGCAGGGAAATGACATGCAGTAAAGGTCAGGGCCAGCTAGGAATCAAACCAACAATTTCCAGATCGAAGGCATGTGCACCCATGTGGCATGCAGCACTTGGCTTTGGGGCTCTCCGAAAATATTTCTAATTGAAATGATGAAATGCACGACGGCAATTAAGCGTTCATGCAATCAGACCAAAATAAAAAAAATGCTCTTCCATCCAACAAACTGATCTTTGTCTCTCTCTCTCCCTGTCGTCTCTCTATCTGATCATTTGCAGATGTGGACGAGCAGCTCAACACTGAGCACATTTTATAGCCAAAGCAGCATCTGAGCGTTCCAAAGCTGCAGGAGCAGCCAAACTGGGTGCTCTGCTGTCGTCACAACGTCAGTGTCCCTGTTTATTTTAGTCTGTAGTGGAATTCCCTCTGACACCTAATGCCTTAAAGAAACTTTCATCTCCCCAGTGGTGCCACAGGATTTTTCCTGAGCATAAAACAAGCTTAGAGAAGCAGCAGGAGTGCCACAGAGGGGCAACATACAGTAAGGCTTTACTGATTCTAATGAAGGGTTGGCACGGACCGGCTATTTGAGGCAGGCGCAGGGAACACTCAGCCTAGTCTGTTCAATAGGTGAGTGTCTGACTCCTGAGTTCTACACCAATGAGCTGCACTGTTTACCAACCAACGGTGGGAGGAGAGACACCCGGTACAGTAGCTGACTCAGTCGCAGCACACTGCCTGCTGCGAGCTGGAATGTGTGTGTTTGTGTGTCTCCAAGTATTTGCATGTTCGTACAGTGTGCGTGTTTGTGTGTAGAAGTATGTTCGTAGGTCCCACATGACTAGACCGATTCGAGTGAGGCTTATATGCGGCTGCGATGACAGCATGAAGCTAAAAACCAGAATGAGAGAAGAGAAAGTAGAGAGAGTGGACTGGAGGCGAACCACTAATCTAACCACAGATCTGATGTGTTAGTGCCTAAAGGACAAGCTCACTTTTCGTCTGTCTCGAAACAAAGCTCGCACACCCATCAGGGCAATGAAAGAGTTACTCGTCCGTGTTTTCTGTCTTTACATGCTGTGAATAAATCCATTAAAATCCAATTGCTGTGCAAAAACGCATTCCAAAGCTGGTAAAATATGGCTTCAGCTGTCAAATTTATTCAAAGCAACTCTGTATTTCTCTCGTTTTAGTAGAAAATTCCCTCTGTGTTACTGTCTTTCTAATGTACAGATAAACATTGTGTGTGGAAACACAAATAGGGGTGTGAGCACTAAAAAGATAGATGAAGAATATGCATTAACTTCAGATGGCCTGACTTTAAGGATGATAATGCTGGTTGGTTGGTGGGTCACTGCACCACTGATGTTTTTTGTCTGTTAAAAGGGATCTACAGGGTAAAGTGGCTATAATGTTTGGATGGATGGGCTTTTCCCCTTTTTTATTTAAAGACATCAACAGTTTAGATATCTGTAGTCTTGTTGCTCAGAATGACAACTGTGTATTCTGACATTCTTGTCTTACAGGGCAACTTGATCTGATTCACAGTATAGCGTAAATAAACACAATGATTCATAGCTTTCAGATTGTAGCTACACATGGACATGTATGCACTCATCACTGCAACTGCAGCGCTGCCTGAATACCACTTAAGTTGTGTATTTGACGAATCCTTTCAAATGGGATGGAAGTGAGCTGAGACTAATGCATGTCCACTGGGCTACTGCTGTGTGCTTTATCTTTCCTGCCCTGATCTCTACCTGCTGGAACAATTTCACCTGCTCCACTGCCTCCGGGCTTTATTCCACACCCACTAAATCTGTCACTCTCAGCCTCTGCTCACTATGCCAGTTGCTTTTTTTTTGTTTTGTTTTTCCGCAGACTCTGTGGCATGCGGTAGGCTCTGCCAGACATTTCTGACCTTTGTGATCTAAAGGTAGGGCAGGCCCCTACAGGCAGCTTTTGTTTAGTTGTCTAGATAAACTGAATACATAGAAACACAGTGCTCGACGTGGTCCTCTCTGAGCACCTGTGGGAGGCATGGGAACTAATGTGAGGGCTGAAGATACAGGCCCTCTGTGTGGGAGAATCTATGAGCCAAGTTTTGGTGCAAAATGAAATGCCAGACTTTCATTTGGTACTTATCACTAAGGTTGACACAATTCAGGCTCCTAAGACCTGTGACAGTTATAGACCACAACACTGAGACGATACCAGGATGTGGCATCACCCCTTTTTCAAATATGACTACAGAATCAAACACATGGCGCGATGAGTAATGTTGACAATGTCACTTAGGTGAGAATGTGTTTGATAGGCTCAGCTTAAATGATTATTCTGTGGTAGCATCACACTTTAACACCTTTAAGTCACTTTGAGAGGGGTTTTTCTGACCTTGCCTGTCTTCTCACCACCCAAAAAATGTTTTGAATATTGGGAAGTCCCCATTTTTTTCACATGAAGCAGCAATGATGATGCAAGTGGGTGGATTATCACCTGTTGGAGCGATAAGACAGGGCCAGCGCTATGCAGCTGCAACTGTTAATGCATTATGAATGAGCTCTTTGTATTCAGGCGTGCAGTGTTATAGAAGTGCATTCATTATACTTTTGTAAAATAATAACATTAATTGTAAAAGATGACTATTTAATATGAGTAACTCTAATTGTGCAAGTACTTTTTGTGAGAAAAGCTGAGAGCAGAAGTCACTGATGCAGAGGCACCTTTTCATGATAGGAGGATCAAAGAGTTTGACTTTCTCTAAAGTCCTTGTTAATTCACTAACTCACAGCCTTGTTGCTGTTTACTGTGGAGGGAAACCCTGCAAGTTCCTTCCAAAAAACACAAATTCCATTGCTAGCCTTTTTTCTTCGTTTCATTTTTTCCATCGAAACACACACATACACACAGCTCCTTCCCTTTTCCTGCAAACTACCCTCCACCCTCCTGCTATCTTACAGGGATCAGGCTGGATTTCTGGAGGACAGCAGCTGCAAATAGGAATTTCTTGTGCCAGATTGGCAGAATCTCATGGATGGAAAAAAGCTAATCCTCTGGTGGGCTCCCCCACAGAATCGAGGGGCATAAGGCCAAGGAGAGGTTCTGGCCAACTATAACAAACAAAGAGGCTTTCCCCAGTTCTCCCAGGCAGCACGTTCCACTGTTTGACAATGGTTGCCATGGAAGTTGTTTTTCACTTCATAACAGTGTCAACATGTCCAGGCGGTCAGGAGAGCGACAGTTTTTTCTCCCTCAGGCTCCGTCTTTAATGCGAGAGAGAGAAAAAAGGTCATTTCCTGATGTGTGGCGACCAGAAGAATGAACAGCAGGATGGTAACGACCCCAAACTGCCTCTAAATCTCACCTGACTGACAAAACCAAAAGGCATTTGAAAAACTTTCTGAGCCTGTCGTTTTACTGTAAGACATAATACAGTTTGGAGAACCTTTAACTCCAAAATCAGGAAGAGGTTGAACCTCCTGCCTGCTGCTTGATGTGGCCTGACATTAATTCTGTCAGAGGGTAGTGGGGTTGACAAGCATAAGTATAAACATATGACTCACAATCCTTGTTATTTCCACCTTGAATGGAACATAACTGCACCTCCTGGCTAGGATTGTTTTAACACAGTGAGCGTTTTCTGTTGGCTTTGTTCAAACGGATTCTATAGCACATAGATTGGACTGGGATATGCGAAAAGGAGATGGCGCAGATACTGTAAATATCCTTGAATTGTTCTTAGGAGAAGTCATATCTCTGTTGGTGGGTCTTATCATCCATTAATTTCACAGAAAGGACATATCCATCACTTTGTCTGCCTGCTTTTTTTTCTCTCCCCTCCACATCATTACATAACCAATTATCCCACTTACACAGAGTATAAAAGCATTAACTTACACTCACCATCATCTAGGTAGAACTGGTCCAAGTTCTCCTCCTTGACCGTCACCCGCCTCTGTCCGTCTCCTGGAGCCTCCATCTGGCCGGTCCCGGTTGGAGCTCGGCCTTTCTGCTGCCCCTTCTGTACGTAGGGCTGCTGCTGAATCACGGTGGGATAGTGCTGCGGGTGAGTCACGGCCGCCTGAGCCTGAGGGGGTGTGGGCGAGTGGGCGGCGGCGGCTGCCTGTGGGGAGTAGCCGTCGCAGTAGATGATCTGCTGGTTGTCGGGCTGAGGAGCAGTGAGGGGCTGAGGCTCTCCTGCCCGCAGCAGGTGGTGGTTGGTGGGAGAGAACTGGATGATGGATGGGTGTTGGCCTGCTGCGCTGATGGAACCTATAGACTGAGCTGGGGAGCCCGTGTGGACCAGCACTGACCGGTGGGGGTCAGGCATCACCCCACCACTCTGCCAAAGGCCGGGGCTGCCACTCAGACTCTTCCCCCCACGGGAATAGACGATGGCTGGGCTCTGCTGCTGTAAACGCGTGTCCTGGTTTGGAAGGCTGGAGCTGAGACGCTGGCAGGAAGCCAGGCCGGAGACCAGGCCGTTGTCTGGGTGGAGGACGCTGCGTGGGTTATGGTAGTAAGAATGAGGGGATAAACCCAAGATCTGAGGCATGGCAAAACCCATGTGGCCTGGTTCATACTCATCTATAGGCTCTGTCTTAATGGATGGAGCTGTATGGAAGAGACATCAAAAAAGATGGCTGTAAACATTCTGACAATAAGCTCTTGGAAAATCTATTTCAGCATCATCCAATTATTTTACATTCATAGTCCACATAATGTGATATAAGCACACCACACAGACACTGAGCAGCACTCTTACATGCCAGTGGTGTGTAGGTGAAATGCTGAGGCTGGCTGCGCTTTCTCTTGCCGTTGATGACGTAGAAGTTCACTTTGACAGAATGGCAGACTGACGTATCTCGGTAGGACGGCACCTCCACAAACAGCATGCTCTGCAAGACAGCGTTCAATCATGTAGTGAAATCAGTCTGTTTGTTTGAACTCAGACATGTTTGTTGCTTTTCACAGCACAAGACAAAGGTCTAAGGAACAGTCTGATGTGTGACACGTACAGGCTGGCTCTTGTCTTTGTCCACTGTTGCTTCCATTTCCCAGATTTGCTGCCCGTCTAGGATGAAGCAGAAACAGAAAGTGAAAACCCAACCTCAGTCATACAGTGTGGTAAATAACTCTGCAAAGTAAGCAAGATTAATTGTTTCAAGATACACAAGACATTTGGGAAATGGTGAATCCAGACCAACTGGGAAATCACCTCTCCTTCTTGGTACATTCAAAGCAATTCTTTATTTTCTTCAGTAGTTTAAATGCAGTTACACGCAACACCTTATGCTTGTAGATTATATGGCTCTTAAAATACCTACGATCATTAGATTTACCCTAAAACTCACATATATTCAGTGCCTATAAAAAGTCTTCAATTTCCTTGGAAGTTTTTTCCATGTTTTGCTTGAATCATTGTCAATTTAATTTGGCTTTCTAGACAAGAATTTACAAAAAACTGTCTTTCATGTCAAAGTGACAACAGATTTTGGATTACAGAATCAACTGTACCCCAAGAGATATTCAGTGACTTGTAATTTTCTTGTATCCATCCCTTGAGTTCTACTTTTTTAATAACCTTTTTAGAGGTTGTCTTCAAAGTGTAGTGAGATTCAGGAGTATCACAATACAATCACTGAGACACCGTCACTGCTACTCAGCTGATCTCCATTTCACTAACCATGTGACTTCTAGCACCAGCTGGCTACACCTGTGTTAAATTAGGTGATTCACGTGAAAGGCCTCGTTTACACATAGCCGAGTATTCACAAAAACGGATCTACGTTTTCAAAAATAATATTGTTTACATCAGATGGTTTTCAAAAACATCTTTGTTTACACAAACCCGCATAAATACGTTGTTAGGAGGTGATATGACCATGCCAAACTTATAGGGGGCAATGTAATGAGAAGCATAAAGCCATGCTAGCCAATCGGAATTCTGGAAAAAACACCACAACAAAAACTTCTCGTTACTTCAACGATAATGGAGCGAGGGCCATTTGTTTGGACCGACAGCGAAGTGGAGCTACTCCTAAACGTGGTGTTAGAGTACAAAACAAGTAAAATACTTCAAATATTGACTAGGAAACATGTCAGTCCAAGTATATGGAAGTAGACAAACTGCAAACATGGGTCGCACACATATGACGCTGATGATGTTTTTGTTGCATACTGTGACGCCAAACTCCGTCTCCTTCTGTCTACATGCAAACGTAAAGACGGAGTTTTTCACTAAGGAGGAATATTTGGAGCGAACGAATAGTCGGCTATTCAGGTCCAGCCCTACATAATTCAGCATTGAAATGCAATGAAAACTTCTGAGGCGTGTGAACACTTACAGGCACTGTACACTCGTGCATTAATCAGAAAGACATATGGCTGTGCAGGACACACCTGTCTGCTCTCAAATGCAGTGCTGACAGAACATCAGCACAGAAGGTAGAAACACAACATTAGCTGGGACGTGATGAGAAGTGCAGGAGTTAGCGGCTTATGTTATGGCTTATGGTATATCACACTTCATCAGATTACATCTAAGCTGTCATTTCAATGCAAAAGTTGAAAACAAAATGTGCCTGCGAAAGCAAACTCCACATGCTGGAACACATGATAGGACATGTGCTGCAGCAAATGTTTCTGTAGGTGGGAAACCCTCTGTCAAATTACAAATGAAAAACACATGGCTTAAATGAGTCAGCAGGAGGAAGGGGGATTCCACGCATGTTGCCAACTTTTTTTTTTTCTTAATTTTATTTTTATGATCAACTCTCTCCACTTCTCCTACAAAACGTGATGACTACTGCTTTCTTGGCATTCGTATTTGTTTGCGTTTTGTTGTAATTCTACTCTAAGGGATACCCCCGACTTGTTCTCCCTCTGGAGATAATTGTGTGTGGAGGTGGAAAGGAGGAGGGGAGATGGAGAGAGAGCCTGAGCAGCTTGGCTTGGCCCGGGAAGCTTTCCTTTCCCTCCGTACAACTCGCCCCGTCCAAGCACAAGAGTCAGGGGAGCTCCAGCCAGATGCAGCTGTCTCTCATTCAGAGGGATTTCACAGCCTCGCTGGTCCAAAACCTTGTGTCATACAGAAACTCTCCAAAACAATGGCAATCCCTCTTTGTAAGATTTCTTTTTCCATCTCTGTCTTACTATCCATTACTGCGGTGTGTCGTAACACAGCGGCAGGGAAACCCGGAGAAGAAGAAGAAGAAGAAGAAAAAAAAAAAAAAAAGTTGGGGCGTGCAGCTCCAAGTTTTAGTGGAGGTAGGCCGTGGAGTCCCTGCGTCTAAAAAGCCAAATGATCTGCTCTCAGGCAGCAGTGGAGCTAGTGAGTCACAGTCAGGCAAATATTTCAATGCAACTAACCATCCTAAAGAAACCTTCGAGCTGCGGCTAGATCCAAACTATAGAGAACTGAAACTACAGAAAACAGATAACAAATGCAATCCCAACTTCTATACGTTACTCTTTTTAAAGTGTGTTAAAATGACCTTACACAAGATGCACAAAGACATCTAGTCATGGCTACATCACGACCATCTTGTTATGTAAATGTCAGCAGATAAGAAGATTACAAGAGGGGGAATTACTTGATTTATTGTTCACTTACTAGCATTACATAATTGAAGGAAAAACTTGTATCTGTCATCAGGAAACATAAATCCAGTCGTCTTTTTTTTCCTGGCAGATACATTTAGGAGTGAAGCAGGGACATCAACAAATGAAACCCAACACAACCCTTCATTTGACACATAAAACCATTAATCACATAACAAAAGGCCGATTTGAGTGATAAGACATCATGGGAGTCAGTGAGAAAGAAAAGGGCAAAAGGAAGTTGGAGTGTTACCCTTTTGGATTATGCAAATAACTCAGGTGGCTTCATGGTGCCGATGAAAAGAAGCATGACAGTGATGAACTCGTTGCGCAGGCACTGAGACTTATGAGTCATTTGCGATAGCTTGTGTTGTGGTACTACCGAGACACGGTGTTGTGCAACATCAGAGCACGTAGATTTTGTAGACTCAGCTGCACATCTGGTTTCCAGGTTACTGCATGTTAACAGAAATACATAGGAAACAGCGAACTTTCCCAGAAGCTGCTGGAGCTGAAGTACCACTCACCCTGAGTTTTCTCCAGAAAAATGACTTTGGAGTCGGAGCTGAAGTTCTGCCCAGTCAGGATCATCTGCTGGCCGCCCAGGACGGAGCAGCTGTCCATGTCCTGCTTCTCCACCATGGGAAGTTCATGCGCTGAACGCTGGGCTGCAGGGACACACAGCGAAGTAGTGTGAGGATATTTGTTTTTTTGTAAACTGAAGTTATGTTTTGGTCTGCTGAATGAGCAAAACAAGACACATGAAGACTTGGAGTGTAAGCTGTTAGGACGAGCATTAGCATTTTTCTCTAAACAATGAAGGAATTTATCAAATTTCATCTGCAGGTGCATTATTAAAATAACCTTATCCTTACCAATGAAACACAGACAACACATAGCATGTCATGTGAAAGCTAAGTACTGATTTCTCACAAGTGCACACCTGCTCATTGCCAAGAAGTGACAGCGCTTTACAATAAAGATGCTGAGTCATTTAATTATCACAACCATCGCTTTCGGTTTTAATAAGCAACACTGAAAAATCGGTCAAATCGCAACTTACGAGCGGTAAATAGAAAGTTTGTACAGTAAAGCACATAACAGGAACGGACGGATGCAATATGATAAAGAAATAAACACTACCAATTATATGTGACGCTTAAGAGCTCCTGAAATCCCTCTCAGGTTATTAATTAAATCCCTAAAAACTGATCTCTGAGAATCAAAGTTACATATGGTAGAATCCTCTCCTGCCTTTAAAGTTTACAGATCTAGGAAGTCCTCTCTCTTCACTCACCGCAGCTTGAGCACACCAGCTCACCTACAACTCAAACACTGCAAAAGTACTCTGCAATACACAGCAGTAATATTGGAGTAGTTCGGCCATACATGTTGAAATCACAGACCAGATCTGAAGATACAGAACACCACGCCCTGCAAGGATTGGGTTCTTTGTCACGTATGAAACCTCAAAAGTCTGAATCCATGTTTTTTTTTGTTTGTTTTTTTTTAAACTGTCGCCAGTACACCAGTTGTGTATTTTTCTTATTATATCTCTTCTAGCTTATAAAAAACACCAGATGGACATTTTAACAAGGAAAAAGAATTTGATTTTCAACTTTTAAATCTTGTGAAATCACACAAAGTCGTGCTATCCAGTCAAGTGTTGCTGATCTTAAGGTGACTCTATTTGCATCTGAAAAACATCTCCATGAGACAGAAATGAGAAGATTTTGTTCAATATTTTGGAATATATAAAGCACTACATCTGGGGGAATGAGATGAATACAGCTTGTTAAGGAGAACTAAAGTGAAAAAGTGTAAGACAATGTAACTTCTACTTTTTTCTAGCTCTCAGTTCAGTAGATAGCTAACAAGATCCCGTCTCATCTTGTATTTTCCATGAGCATTTTACTGTTTTATTACAGTAATTATAATTTTTGTGTAATATTTCTTATTTTTTTTATGTATGTTTTGGCTTGTTTTATCTTCTATTTATCCTACTGTTATATTCAGTATATTCTGTCAAACATCTGTAAAACTGCATTTAATTTGATTGAAAAGTGCCTTATGAGTACAGTTTATTCGACTAATCAGAATCAGAAAGGATTTACTGCCAAGTAGGTTTTCACATACAAGGAATATGACTTTGTGTTTTAGTGCATACCAGGAAACAAAGAATAAAAGTGTTGCCAGTTGAATGTATTAAGTGGAACAAGATAAATAAGAAGCCGTTGTGACTTATTATCACTGGTTTGAGTCAAACTCTGCTCTCACTGAAGGGAGTCGAGGCGTTGACAACCCCGTGAACTTTGAACAGGCCGGTGCCCGCTGCTACACTGCAGGTGGATAAATCAAAGAGGACGACGCTCACTGGGGCCTGATCTCCTCAAACACACCAACACTGACACAGTCTGCTTATCGGCAGCCTGACATACACTCACTGGCCACTTTATTAGGTACACCTGTCCAACTGCTCGTTAATGCTAATTTCTAATCAGCCAATCACATGGCAACAACTCAAGGCATTTAGGCATGTAGACATAGTCAAGACGATCTGCTGCAGGTCAAACTGAGCATCAGAATGGGGAAGAAAGGCGATTTAAGTGACTTTGAACGTGGCATGGTTGTTGGTGCCAGACGGGCTGGTCTGAGTATTTCAGAAACTGCTGAGCTACTGGGATTTTCACGCAAAACCATCTCTTGGGTTTACAGAGAATGAAAGTATGAAGAATGAAAATGAAAGCATGGATCCGTCCTGCCTTGTATCAACGGTTCAGGTTGGTGGTGGCGGCTTTACGCTTGACTGGATTTCATCGATTTTTCTGAAGTTTGTTATACGACCGACGGGTGGCAAAATCCCAGTTCTCCTCTATAAGCGAGAACAGATGGGAGCAACAATTATAAAATAATATTACATCCTGCGTCATCGTGATGGGAGCATACTGCCCGCAGCCTGTGTCACACTTGATCAGGGTGTTGATCGAAGCTCGATAAAGGCCCTTCTTGTTTGAGTTTTGATTACACCAGGTGCTTTAATAACACTGTGCACACACGCACTGATGTACCCAAACACAGACTTTACTACTGAGCACATACAAACAGGTACACAGACACTAAAACGTGCAACGCCCACCTACTGGATGGAAGCCCTGCTTGTATAAAGAGGTCTTTATGCGCTAGCCTCTGGACTATCAGCCCAGCTCCAAACTCATTTGAATGTGGGTTCCTTTTTTTTTTATGATGTTTATTTTGTATAAAGTTTTGTTACCTGTTGAAAAGCAGTTTGACCTCAACGGGAAGCACACACACACAAAGCCCACACTGTATCAGGACATGAAACTAAGAAGTCTAAGATGTGTTTTAAAAAAAGCACATCACAGAAGTGTTTTACGTGTAGCCGCTTACAGCACTCAATGGGATGCGAGGCCGCTTGGAGGGAGACGTGCTGTCCGCCAGGCTGAGGTATGTGCACTCGAAACACAAGACGAACTCGGGTGTTTTTCCGCCCAACGTCCGTCTCGCCCTTCCTCAGCTCGATGTCAGCGTTCCTGAGCTTCAGGATCCCGGCACAATCAATTCTTTGAGAAGAATAGCACGTGTAAGCAAAATTGTAAACAGAAGTTGTTTGTTTTATATATATCACAAAAAAAAGAAAAAGCTTGATTGGGAACTTGCTCACATTGCTTTCATGTTGTTCTTTGGCTCCAGTGGGATCTCCAGGACTTTGGTGCCATTGATAATCTTCTCAAAGCTGGTGGTCGTAACCGTCTTGCCAGTGATGCGGTGGACTTGATAAAAGGCATGAGGCTTGAGAATGCGCTCGTCTGCTGTACCGATGAAAATCTGTAGGCCAAGTGGCTCCTTGCCTCTGTAACCATGTAGCTGCAAATACACACAGGGAGGGAAAAAAAAGAACACTCGTTTTTTATTTTTGCTTAAACCTCCAGCGATAAGGCGATGAAACAGAGTCAGTATGAAGGAAATGTTTGAGTCACGTTTAACTGGTTGTGCTTCTCCACTGCCTCTTGTTCAAACTCTGCATTTCCAGATGTTGTTCCCCTCGCAGATGGCCAATCAGCGTCAGACCCACGTGCAGGAGCATGAGTCTTCCTTCTGCAGCCTTGAACTGAAGCCAGCAGAGAGCTCAAACCCTGCAGCCCTTCACTCGTTCTTTCCTAACTGAATGTGGGCTTCAGCAGGGGTCCCGTCCTTCTCTGACAGAACCCATAACGGTCATAAACATCCAGCCTGACTGACACATTTGGCATCAGATGTACTTTAATGTCCTGCTGCAGAAAATGAAACGTAATATATGAGCGAAACTTTGAACTGACAGAGACCGAGTTGTTACTTTTAACCTGAGAGTGCCTCCTAAGGAAACCTGCAAAAACCACAACGCATCAGTTTGCATCTAAATGTTGTTTTAGTGCAAACTGTGTCGTGCATAACCTTTATGACAGAACACAACCCCACCATGAAACGTCATAAAGGAATGTACTCGAATCAACTCATCTTTTCTAGTGTACTTGAGGAAAATTATATTAAAGGTGCTTATGTCTGGTTAATGTAACTTAAAATGTCTCCTTTTAATTTCCAGACCACTTTAGAACTTAAAAACATGAGTTCTTATAACTTCAGCCATTTGGACTCAAAATAATTAGTTGAATCAATGAACAGTTGAGAACTGAGTCAACTCAATAAATTAAGTTTAAGCAGGCATCCCAGAATGCCTTGCTGGATGTAAAACTCAACTCTATTTTTGTAATTTCAGAAAATGCATATGGTGGAAACTTGATAAAGCCTCATGACAAAGGTTAGTAATTAATTTAGTTTGTTTAATTGTACAATTATAATCACCTCAGTGTGACTAGGAGCAGCCTCCAATATTGTCTTTGTACTGAATCTGGTCAAAAGTGGCTCCAGCAGCTTAAATTAAGAAGAAACTAAACTTTGAGAATGCAAAAATGAAGCGAGTCTGTCTGTATTGTCTGTGTCTCAATTGAATATCTTAAGTTTCTCAAATCCACTTAATTGAACTCAGCTACTTTTACACTCTCACAACTCACACGATGACATTGAATTACTTTATTAACTAAAGTGACCTTTGTTGAGGAACTTCTAAGCTGAATGTACTCAAAATGATTTACGCTGCGTGAACTGGATTCTGAGCAACAAAACAAACACTACAGGTAACTTTGCACAAGTGGCTAATCCATTCTAGCAGCAGAAATAGTGTTTGTTTAGTTGTTTTGCAACACATTTTCCATTCAGGAGGCTGTGGAGAGACTGCCTCTTATAACTGCGGTCAGAAAAATCAGCTTGTTCGTAGAAATTCTCGTCTCGGTGGACGCAACTGTCACACTTCACAGCAGCTGCGCAGAAACTATGGCAACGTGAACGAGCACGCCTCCCCCCACACACATCCAGGTAGGTGACACATGAAGTGAGACAGAGGAAGCCGACTGCAAACACTCAACAGGCCATGTGAGCGGTCGGCCGGTTGTCATGGCAGTGGCAGGAGCAGTGAGTCATGACAGAGAGCAGCGTAGGAAAAGTAAAGTGGAGGGTACAAGGCTCAGAGAGAGGAGGAGAAAGGAGGAAGGAAAAACCCTGAGAGAGAGAGAGCGAAGGAGGAGCAGAGGAAGGGAAAGACGAGGTGAAGGAGTGCAGCCGTGGCTAGCCAGGCCTGACCATCTGATTGGACTGGCAAACCAGGCAGAACTGACCTCAGGGTGAGGCCTTTGGGGATGGGCAGAAAATGGAAAGAGAAGCTGTATTTCCACAAAGTCTCTACTATCACCAACAAAAACAGCATTGAAATGTTGCCACGGTAACGCGAGAAAAAAAAGGGAAGTTGTGCCTATTAATGGACACAATCGCCAGCTGTATCTGTGTCACAGCTAATTTCAACACGCTGCGCCTCAACTCCATGTTATGACTGTAAGACAGAAGTAAATGTTTCTCCTGATCTGCAATTATGCTAACCACAGGCACGATTTTTCTTCTTCTTTTTTTTTTTTTTAACACATGCCTAGAGAGGCTGAGTGTTTCAACACTTTGAGTCAGCCCCTTAACACAAGAGTCAACAAAACAGTGTGTAAGCGGAAGTGAGGACGACTCGAACATAGATCTGTCTGTGTGGTTAAAACCATCAGCCAAGGGCACACAATAGCAGACTATTTTAAGTTGGAAAGCAGAAGAGAAAAAAAAAACTGTGCTGCTCACTGACCTGAACTCAGTTGTGAGGGTTGTCCTGAGTCTGCAGAGTGGTTTCAGTGTGTCATATGTCTGAGGTTAGAGTGTCTATAGTGATTTAAGAAAGTGAGAAGCTGGAATGGTGCCACAAGAGTAGCCAGACAGACTCACCAAAAGTCATTTTCGTACAGCTGGCCCTGGGCAGCAGCACCACTACCACCGAGTGCATAATGAGTAGGAAATACCATTACATGCAAGGCCTCCCATCAGGGCTGCCTGAGGCTGCTCAGCTCATTTAAACCCGACAACATGCCTTCATATGGTCGTCCGGCACATGGAATGGCAGATTGAAATGTATAACTTTCTTCTGATTTATATGATATTGAGTGATTTATCGTTTGATTATGCTTGCGGCGTACCTGCACAACAGGATGTCCTCCTGTGGGAGCTTTCACTGCACCCCTGCTCCCCTCTGTTTCATAGTGAGCCCTGTGATGTGGTTTGGGCTGCACCTCGATGTGGAGCTCATACTGGTCGGTGCGACTGGGGATCGGCCACTCCAGTGGGGGGAGAGAAGCCACAGGGATGCTGCAGAACATGAAGGACACATAAAATTAAATTAATGGTGAATCTTATGATTTAAATACTTATTGAGGAGCAACGAGTCCTTGCTTTGTTGCCAAATTTACCTGCAGATGCTGGAAACCAGTGGCTTGGGCCAGATTGGGGGGATAACAAAGAAAGGCTCTGCAGCAGGTTTGGTTTTAATGTCCTGATCGCAGGACACCAAGTAGTTCCCGTCTCCGTGGTTCTCTGGGTACAGAGTGTAAACCTGGTTGGTCGTCTTGACTATCTTAGTAGGGACCAGGCCGGGCTGACCGGCGCCAAAACCATTCATGCCATCGACGAGGCTACTGTGTGTGTAGTGGGCACCAATGTTGTGGTCTTCATGGACGCCGTGGGGGGAGGGGCTGCGGGAGCGGTGCCCAGGGATCAACCCAGGATTCCTGTACATGTCGTAGGTGCGTTTTCCCTGCGGGGAAGTGGAGCGGGAGCCTGGGCGGGGGGAGGGCGAGCGGTGGCCCAGGTAGCCGTCCTCAGCTAGGCTGGTGCGAGGAGAGGTGCCCGGGGAGGTGCGTGGGGAGCCAGTGTGGATGCTCTGCAGGCGGGGGCACAGGTCTCCGGGGTTCTGCCCACTGCTGGGGGACACACAGGGAGACGCCCAGGGGGAGTAGTTCTCTGAGTGCCAGCTGGTGGAGGAGTTGCTGCTGGCCGGACTCAGGCACTGGGGCTCACGGTAGGCGAGGTTCTCATGGCCCGGCACAGTGAGGGTGGGTCTGGGGCTGATGTTCAGGTGGTGGTTCTGCAGGGAGTCCCGGCCATGACTGTAGTGCTCACGGGAGGGGGTGATCTCGATCCGAGGGCTCAGGGCCAGGCCTGTGGGCCGGGTACTGTCCAGATAGCTCCGGGCCTCCTGGTTCTCATATCCTGACAGAACCTCAGTGTTGTGCTCACTGTAGGACGGGCTGCAGGACTTGATGCCGTATGGGGAGGCCTCTTCCAGAGGGAAAGCCTGCTCAGACTCTGGGCTGAGGACTTTGTGAGGTGCAAGGTTGGGGTCATCTGCAGGAAAGAAAACATGTACACAGAAGCAGAAATGAAGATGTGTTCCATTATAACAATTCTCAATCATTCATCCTCATCTGAACTCAATGTGTGGCACCAATCACAGCACCAGTAAACAAAGATCTTGCTTTTTAAAACGAGAGTTCATTCATTTATCAGCTGAAAGGAAAAGCCCTCAAATTTACTTCCTTGTTTTCTTTTTCGTTCACATGAATCAACTACATAAGCCGCATGTTAATGACACAACAACCAAGAGAGGGACTCAGGTTGCCAAAGAGCCTCGGACAAACCTTGATCTCCCCCCGCAAAGTCGCTGCATGGCGGTTCATACTCGAACAAGATCTCAAACTCCAAGTCCTCATCAGGACAGCTGACTCGACTAAGCTCTTCCTCCAGATCTTTGTCGTCGTAAAAGGAGGTCATCTGTCTAAATGTCTCCTGAGGAATCCCGCGGGTTCGGACGAAGCGACGGAGACGTGGCTGAGGAGCTGCGGCGCTGATGTCGATTTGGGGAAACCTGTTCCGAGTCTCAGATCGCGCATCGGTGAGCTGCAGGAGGTGAAGCGCACAAGTTTCCTGTTTCAGTTCGCCGCGGTTATTTTCAGACGGAGGCGGGTCTATTTACACTCTGAACGCAGAAGAAGTTTGGAGCTCATGGCAGTGTGATCACGCCTTCGATGATGCGTCGAACAACAAAAAGCTAAAGTGCAGGTTGGAGGTGATGAATTAGTTGTGCGCCCCCCCCACCCCTCCGTCGCGCAGAGCGGCGCTGTGCAGCCTGGTGCTGCCCCCGGGTGTCTGGCAGGACGCAGTGACACGGCGAGGAGCTGCTCGTCCCCTGAGCCACAGCTCTCCGTTCAAACCCGGCTGTTAAAGCGTCATTTCAGGTTGGTGTGGACACATATGCAGACGGATGGGTGGATTAAAATGTACATAAACATTTATTTCCCCCCTCAGTCCAACAGTTTGCCTGACTTGGATTGGATTTTTTGGCGACGCGCTCTTTTATTGTCAGCGGGAACGCACAGGTTCTCCAGAGGGTATCCCCAGATTTACGCACGACGCAAAACACATAGAAGGGAGTTCCTCCACTCAGAAGTATGTGCTCTGTCAGCAAAACGGACCGGCTGAGAGATTTTAATTTTTCTGATCTTTTTGGTGCTGTGATGTGCAAATCACCGCTTTATTAAAACACTGGCACTGGGCTCGTTAAAGCGCGCAGCGGTATTAAACCAGACCAGAATGGCTGCATCCTATATTACATAATATACACCTGAGATGATATTTAAGTTGTTCCACACAAGTTAACAGGCGTGAAAAATAAATCTCAGCATGAGTTTATCACTCTTAATTACAGCTACACCTAATATACAAAATCTGCAGGATTTTAGTGCATCCAAAATGACTAACTATTCATCCCATGTGTCTAATAGACTTCTCGTCTTCTCCTGTGACACAAAGACACGCACTGCGCACAGCAGCGTGTCCAAACATTCACATCCCAACTATTTTCGAACGTTTGACCCACATCTGACAAACGGTACGACATTCATTTGAGCCAAAAACACACTAGGACTAAAACTACAGTATCAATTAAAAATCAAATGGGTTGATTACCAGATAATCACAACACTTCAGCAGTACCTTGATCCATGGACCTCATCGTGTGGTACTGTGCCAGCCTCCAAGTCTCTCTAAACATCTGGAGAATAAAACAAAACGAAAAAAAAAAAGAAAGAAAAAAAAAGAATCAGCTGTAAATGTTATGCTCCTCTAACAACCATAGCAGAGGAAGCTCTCTTCAGTTAAAAAATTGGTGAAAGGAGACGGAACAGGAAAAAACTCTGAACACGTTCAGAAAACTTGAAGCTGTGATCCAGCGGCGGCGCGCAAAACTCCCTTTCTGTTCAAAAACATGCAGCCGCATCAGCTACAGCAGTGGTTCTGGTATGAAGTCCCCCTTCCTAGAGCTCTATAAGGATTACTTGAGTATCAAGAGCGGCTTCCTTCCCCGCTCTGGGTGTTTATAATGGTCCAATGCTGTAAAATAACGGGATTCCCTCAGTGTTTCCTCCTGTTTGTGCGCCTTTGCCATGGAAACCTGGAGCGGGTCCATGTCGGAGACTCAGGGCTTTCCTGCAAAGCCCCACACTCAGGAATCCATGACGTCTCCGGCTCTTGCGCCAAGGCATTTCTGCGGCTTCTCTCAGACAGTAGCACACAAGAACTTCATTGTGGGGATGAAGAAATTACTGTAGGACACTGTAGAGGAGAGAGAGAGAGAGAGAGAGAGAGAGAGAGAGAAAAGAAAATAGTTCTGAAGTTTGATTACAGGATACACTACATGAAATGTACCTTTACTAGACTCTTGTGTCAAGCAGTTCAGTTTGTAAATGTAACAAAAAACATGCAAATGTTTTTTCCTATAGAGTAAATTCTAGGGGCTGAGGCTAATTTTGAACATGGAATATAGAGAATTCCATTGTTTCCACTGTGGGCAGAAGCTTCTATCCATTTCCATGTCATAATGGAAATGTGCAGCATCTTCTGGTACTTGACTGGAAAAAAGCTGAACAAGACCACTACATAGCGTGACCCCAGTAGTCAGGAGCACAGTTATAGTGTATAAATTAGCACCGAAGGGGAAAAAAACAGCAACAAAAAAACAGACTATGAATATTTTAGACTTAACTGTGCTGAAGTTATGTAAAGTTGGTCAGACACCAAAAATACAGACTCACATTTTTATTTCCAAGAAACTTTAGAAGCTGCTCGTATTGTGGAGGGAGAGAACTTGAGGTCACAGAAACATGAAAGTCCACACTCCATCTTTTAACTCCCAGAATTGATCTTCTTGGAATAAATCGCATGAGAATTAATGAAAATAGTGTTTCTTGCAGCACAGTTTTCTGTCTCATACCACTTTAAATCCTGCTACTGTTGGCAAACAATCCATGAGTAAATCCTGTCTATGCAGTGAACATGTCTGACTCATGTCTCAGTTTATGTGCCGTAAAATGTATTAATAGCTTTAGTCGGGAGGGGAGGGGAAGGGGGGGCATCTATCTGCCTGCTGAGGTTCTTAATTTCTAAACTTCAGGAGGAGCGATTTTCAAGTTGTTACGTCCTAAATCGACTGACAGCAGCAGACTTTTGGTTATTTTTCATCTGGGCAGGGGAGCAAAAGTTTATTCTGGAGATCAGTGCTCCTGGTAAACTGTTACTGCTTCACAATCTTATGTAATAACCTGAGGTGCTTATCCAGAAGACATTTGCGAAGTCAAGAAAAAAGGGAACTGAAAAAGCTTATTTAACGTGAACAAGTTCACATAATAGTCAGGAAAGGAAGGTGCAGAATAAGCAACCCAGAGGAGCCAAGTCAAACTATACATTACTGCCTCGGTGCCAAGAATGGATGCTCTGTCTGGTGCTTCAGTGTAGCAATGCGCTTCTAGTATGGATTCCAAAATATACATGTGTACATATCAACGTATGGACTTACCAAAAGCCTTTCTGTTCCTGTACATTGTGTTTTGAGAAGAAGAAATGTCTGAAACTGTTTAATTGCTTCATATTTATCATACAGGAATGAAAGTGGCATCAACTGTCTCATTGAATCCTGGGTAAAAGCTTATTCCTAAAGTTGTCAAATTGTTATATAACTTATATAACGCAGTCCATTCTTAACATAACAGACATGGAATCAACATAATTCGAATCAAGACAAACTGAAAAAAACATTTGTTTTGTCTCATCCTCCCACATCTATATTTCACGTGTTAAGCCTCAGTATAACCTCAGTGGCTGATCCTGTGCTTACATCAGTCATGTCAGTCCCAAGGCCATTCATAGGAAAATGTGTGTACTTGGGAGAGAGTGGGGAGAGAGAGGAGGGGGGGTAATCAGAGGATCTGTTTTGGATTGAGACGTTGGATTAGTCTGAGTGAGGGAGCCTGTGCTAGACAGATGGGTGAACAAGGTGACTGCGATGAGTCTGTAAACCACAGCGGCCCGGAGCCTACGTTTTGGGGATAACCATTGAGCAGCCGTGTCTACCAGATGTAAATTCCTCCACTGTTACGGAACTCTTATGCAACTCAAATTATGAATGAGTAAATGAATACGGCACACGCTTAAGAAAGGAAAACTGCCTGTGTCCAGACGGCCGAGTTTGCACTTCCGTTTTTTTTTTTCTCAGAGAGCCCACTTTTTCCAAGTTCATGCAGGATTTTCCATCACTGTAAAACAGCTCACTGAGGTAGAGCTGTCTGGGTTAGAGCGGTGCCCTGTTTGACTTTTCCAAGTGTAACATGTGTGATTGAGCTTTTAAATCCAAGCAGTGGAACTTTGATATGAAAATGGTACATTGTATATTGTGTCTCATGGAAAACTTTCTGTGAAAATTCAGGGGGCGCTGAGAGGCATGGACTTTTGACTCCATTTGAGTCTTTTGATCTGCTCTCTGACTTGCCAGGCACATTAGGCTTTTATTCTTGGCATCAGCATCGTCACCTTAGTAAAGCCATTTTCTCAGGCCGCCAATCTGCCACATCATTGTTACTTTATATATTTTTCTATCTATCACTCCTCTTTTCTCTTAGTTTTCGTTATCCTTCATCATTTTGCCATTTTGTATTGCACCCCTTAAGAAACCTTCACTTAGGTGATAGTGAGGGTGACCTGGGTGCGGTACCTTTCATGACTGTAATGACTGGATTAATGCAGTGTCTTTTGTTTATATTCACTTCTGTCTACTGAAACAAGAGAACTGTTGGACCAACTTAATAAATTGCTGCATTTGGTTACACACAGTTGAATTAAGCTTATCCATATTAAGTTAACAAGTAACATTATTGCCACAAGTTTAAGTTAGATGCACTTAATTCGTTTGGTTCCTCTCAGATTAACAGTTTGAATTGTTGCAACTTCATTTTTAATGAGGTCAACTTGAAAGTTCCAGTCTTCCAACTTCAGAATTTGCTTTGTGCACAGGCACATTGAAAACATGTCATTGCACTTACACACTCTAAAATAATAATCTTTGAACAATTTGGGTTTTTTGAGTTATGAAAACTTCTAATGAAATTATGTTAAAAAAAAAATCTAAGTTTATAATCTGCAATGAAAGGTGTTTTAAACTACTGTTCATGTAATAGTTGGTAGAATAAACTAAGTTCCATATTTAAAAGTTTCTTTAAGTGTTATGTACTTATAAGCATAAGTTTTTAAGTTAGCAAATGTGAAACATGTTGGTGTTCAATTGTTTAATGGGTAAAGGAGGGAACTTGAAATCCTTAACTGAAGGTGAAAAAATGTTATCAAGTCAATTTCTTAGGAATATTTAGTTTAAACTGGGTTTCATTTTAAGTTGGTGCAACTGTCAACATTAATATGTCAATGCAACCCATCAAAATAGGATTTACAGCTTAAAATATGTATCTAAATCAGGAAATTAGATCTATATTTTTTCCTATTTGCAACCATTCATTTGACTAAATGGTAGGAATTGGTTGCTCCTTGCATTTTCTTTCATATACTACTAAGAAAATGGTGATGGAGTTGCAGCAAAAAAAAAAAAAGAAGAAACGTGGACGCCAGATGTACAAGGCTAAAGTAAACGTAAACCTAATTTTTGCTCTTTCAACAAAATTAGAAAACAGCTTTAAAGGGACAAAGTGTCATTTCAAATTGATAGAATCTAGAATAGTAGACTACCATCACCACAGCAAAAGGCAAAATGAGATTCATTTGAAAAAGTTACTTCTGTTACAGCTAAAATACAACAACATGATGCAAACCAATGCATGATGAGTCTAATGGAAAATAAATAAGAATTGTTAAACAAAATGAATAAATAAATAAAATATAGAGGAATATTACTATATCAACTAGTTTATTAGTTCAAGGAGCTGTTTAAAGACATTCAAAACAAATAAATTATTTGGGGAATACAGTTGTTGAGAATTCGATGAAAAAAAAAAACACTAACACTGTCATGTTGGTGCTCTAAATATCATGCTACAGCCAGCAGACCTGATTTAGGACAAAGATTTGTACAGCTCACAAATAAACTTGTTACATCTCTTAGAAAAATCTGGACAAACGTGTAAGTAAATGGTCACTGCAAGATTGCAAGGCAGCCCCCCAAGATTTCATAAAGCCTTCTGGTGTTGATCTCTGCATCAGCATCATTCTGCACAATAAATGTCAGTAAACACAAGACAAAATGCAGATTTTAATTTTAGCAGGAGTGGGTTGTATTCAAAACATCACATTGCAGAGGACTGTAGCATCCAAAGGTTTCAAAAAGCATCCCACACACCAACTTAAAAAATAAATAAATAAACGTGCTGGACCTTCAAAGGCCAAATGGTTCTCAGGTTTAGCCCGGATTGAGATCTTGGCTCTGACTCAACCACTTCCTCATGTTCACCTTGTTGTCTTTATATCATATCTGTGTAGATTTACACTTCAGTGTGCTGCAAAACAAATCTTCTGTCAAGTCACAGACTGCATCAGGTTGTCCTCCAGGACTTCCCTACACTTTGCTGCCTTACACTCTACCTTTACAAGCCTTTGAAGGGCCTGCTCCCGAGAAGCATCCCCACACAATGATGCTGCCACTGTCATGCTTCATAGTGGGGATAGTGTGAAAAAAAATCACACATATCTGAGGATATGAATGCTTTAAGACTACCTAGAGCCTGCATTCTAAAGAAAGAACTAGACTTACAGGTTGCCTATGCCCCTCAATTACACAACAATAAACATATCAAAGGAAAAAGGCAAATATTGATAACAAATTATCACAATAAGACAATGTATACATACGGTTGACATCTAAGGCTCCTGAGTCCAGGCAGCATTTATGTAGTATATATTACATTTTCAATGAGTTATTGAGAGTTGTCATTCAGTGGAATGTTTTGTAATTCATGCCTTCCTATAGTACATCGTAAATATGTTTATTTTTCCAAGTTAAATAGTGTACTGGAGTCTTTAAAAAAAAAAAAACAAACTTTTAGAAACACTTTTCTTTCCTGCACACCTGCCTCATGAAAAGAGAAGACTGTAGCACACAGCTCAGGAATTTGCGGACTGCCTTTTAATAATATAGCAGCCTTTTTAAAAAAAAAGAAGAAGAAGAAGAATTAGGTCGTGTTTCATAATTCTCAGTAGATGCTGGAGTGCAGTAGCTGCTGAGACCACTCCTGACAGGATTTCAGTTTGGGCAGAGCTGGCATGTCATTGTGCAATAAGGAATCTTATTTCCTTCCTGCCACAACTTGAGAACCCTGGAAAACATTTTCCATCTTTTTCCGAATTGTATAAATGAGCTAATGTGTTCCATCAACATGGAAACTACATACATCCACACTGGATGAAACCGCCTCATTATGTAACAGGATTCTGATCAATACTTGAATGTTTGTAGAAAGAATTCAAGTGTCTTAAGTCCAGTGGAAAAGTGGCAGACGAGCTCATGGGTTTTTCCCTCTTCAGCAGTGCAAGTGAAATCCCAAAAACAATATCACCCCCCCTTGTTAACATTATTTTCTGTCTTATCCAGGTTTCCAAATTGGCTCTACAGCATTTCATACCTCTGGAGCTATTATCAGCAGTATATGGATGCAAATAAGTCAATATTTGGTAGTCAAAACAAACTGGAATAATCCTATTCAGCATCTCAGCTGAAAGAAAAACTCACTCCTCCCATTTCAACTTCATTCACAACAACTGACAGAAATTCAGCCCCCATCAGTCACAATTCATCACTTGCTGCGCTTGTCTCCCTTTTACTTATACTGCAAGGAAAATTATGTATCTAATCCAGTGAGCCTTAAAGTGATTTGGGCGGTTTTGTGTAGTTGGTTTCGGAGGCATTAGCCAGTGTCATTAGAGATCATGGGGAGAGGCCGAGAAACACATATGCAGGCCTTCTTTTAACAGTCGTGGGTGCTAAGACAAATCAAAGCATTCCAGGCCTACAGAGCTATAAATAGTGCCAGAGGAGGGTGTGTGTTCATGCTTTGCAATGTTTCAGTGAGCGGCCTGTCATTGCCAAAATCCAGTGTTTACTCAGAGCAATAACAGTGAGTAGTAAACAGTTCATCTGCAGTAGCTTGTTCATTATTTGGTGTCATTCCAAATCATCCATCAAAGGTTTCTGTTATTTCAAAACAGCTTGCTGCTCCTAAGCAGACGAGCTTAATGCGTCACATTATTCTAGGAGTGCTATGCAAATTAGTGTGAGCGAGCTCACTACATGTGACCCAGAAGCATGGTTGACCCACGGCTCAAACTGTGCAGCAGCAATCTCTTCAGGAAACTGGCGACAAACCCTGTGCCCTCGCCGATGCGGTCGCCTTGGCTCAGGGTTTTGGGTATGGATCCCACATGGTTCCATGCTATCAACCGTTCTAGTCTGGAGTCAGTGACAGCTGGTGGTATATTCTGTAGCAGATTCATGATCGTCTGTCTCTCCTTCTTGTGCTGTTCCACTGGGAGCTCTGTGTAAGATGTTTCCAAGCTGGAAACAAATTCCTGTCGTGAAGTGCCAAAGATAAAATGCACCGACCTTGTGATAATTAGCCTGGATATGTTACGTAACAGCTGTTAGCTACCTTTTTTTTTTCTTCTTTTTTTTTTAAATGAATGGTCTGAATATCCAAACCTTGTAAAACGCAAAGTAAATTTCAAAATTGACTTTGATTGGATTGTGAATCTGGCAATGAACCAGTTGGGGCTCCGCTGCTGGCTTCCACAGAGGAGGAAAGGCCAAAACGTTGAGGTTAGCGGGCAGCTCTGTTGATTCTGGAGTGGAATTTCAGTTTTCATGGGGCTGATTAAGTTAAATGCTTTCTTTTAATGGTATAACTTACGCATTTGGGCAGTGGAACAAGAAAAAAAAAGTTGGACGCACGCTGTAGTTTTAATTTGAACATGCAGTGCTGAGGAGCAAAAAAAAAAAGGAAAAGGTTTTATGAGTGAGAATCTCATCCAACTCTAACCATCTCTGGGCTGAAACGCAATGAGAGCATCAACACTTTTATAACTGTAATCTACATACAAAATTAACAAGGTTTCTTTAAAAAAACAAACAAAAAAAACCTCAACCCTATTTAAGCATGCACACCGATTTAGAGGACAGGCGAGATGTTTTCCCACAAATGACATCTTTTACAAACTAGATTTTCTTTTCGTGTTATACTTTACATCTTTAACCTTTCTGATTTCTGATTATGCTGAAAGTCTGTAGGACCTTAAACATGCAGGATGTGGCCATGAGTGGAAAACACAACAGAGTCTCCAGGCATCAGAGACTCCCTCCTCTGGTGAGACAGAGCCAAACATCCAGCCTCCTCATTCTGCCTGTGTGTCCTGCGTAACTCACACCTCATCAGAAACTGAAGTGGAACACAACCAGAATAGCAGCGATTGCTTTTGCAGTGCACACAAACTGTGGCTGAATTTGGTTTCAATCCAAACTTTACTGCGATGTTAGCAAGGAATCCCCTGTGAAAACAAAGAAGGATTAGTTTCAAGGTTTTCTTTTTTACATAATATTCTTATCACAGCTCTGAGCCACATTTAGTAAATTGGTTTCACTTATATTATTCATAAAATGGCTCTAAAGCTCCATTTATTTTATTTTTGTGGCCCAGTTTTAATCATAAAACCTCATTTTGGTGTCAAACTTACATTTTATGATTGTGAATATTAAAGAATTTTGAAATATGCCTGGTGTTACTTATATAATAACAAACGGAAAACTGATTTATGTTGTGGCTCTGCGTTGTGGAGCTGCCTGTTGTCATAACGAACAAAACCACTGCTGCTGTTCAACTCAGGAGAACAACAAAGGTGTGTTAACTGGAAAACAAGAGCCTTGTTTGCTCCGGCTTGATTGACATTTTCCAGAAACTACAGATCGAACTTTTTTGTTCTAAAAATGTTTTAACAAAGTTCTAGTAATGTTTTCAGATAGATGATTTTTTTCACTTCCCAGAATGCTCTTTTAAAGGCAGGATAATGTTCTCTAAGGACGTTCCAAAAGTGTTTGGTGATAACATTGTCGGGCCATATATCCTAACATTTTTACAATGTTTTCTGAAAGTCTAATTGAAATACCCTGCCTGTTTTAAATGTTTTATCATCATGTAACATTGTCATTATGTTTAATAACATGTCCAAAACATCCTCAGAATATTACAAGGACCTGTCTACCTTTGTTAACGTGGCATTCAAAGAATGTTATATTAAAAACGCTCCGTCATCTGAAGCCCCGATAACATCTTGAAAACATTTTTTGAATGTTTGTTTGAGAATGTTCTTCCGTTGTTATCACATAATGTAATCTGTGGCCCTGACAACGTCCGCAAAACATCCTCTGAATGCTGCGGTTCGAACTCGACATCTCAGCTGACATATAACCTTTTTTTGAACATTTGATTAGAACTATTTCTTTAAAACATCATTACAGCATGTAGGTAATGTTGTAGGAACATTTCCTGATAGCGGGGACCATTAAGCTTTTAAAAAAACACAAAACGTATTCGCTGCTGTGTAAGATCTGAGTACTACAGAGTAGAAAAGTACTGAGAAACAGAATACCACATTTGGCATTTTGATGAGATTAAAAATGTAAAATAAAACCAACCATGTTAGAAATAAAAATGCCACAAGAAAAGAAAACATGATATTTATTAATCATCATCACAACATTGACATCAGCACAATTCTCCCTTTTTGTTCTGCTCATCTGAGTGCAATCGACATCATTAAATAAAACATGTTAATAAATAATTAAAAAAAACAAGTTATTTACAAGCAAGCAAATCATTTTAGCATTAATTATGCTTTGCACTTCTATTACAACATAAAAATATACTTAACAGTTGTACAAAACAAAATTCTGTGCAAATAGCTTGCTGAATTCAGTGGGGGTTCAAATTCCTATTTAGCATACGAAAGAACGGATTCATTATGGCACCCTGGATGCTCTGTTTGTTGCTAACTATTTACAATCCGTCATCACACTACAGTGGAAGGAATTATGAGGAGTGTATCATTGTATCAGTGTTTTCTTCCAGTGTTCAGTTGTAATACTTATTGACAATATTCACATTGTACTTGACTGAACAGTTGTGATTTGATCCCTTTTTTTTTTTTAATGTCACAGCTGAACTGTGGAGGTTAGTAGCAGTGAGAAGTGAGGGGGCCCTGGATTAGACAACATGAAAGGGGGCAGCTGGTCACCAGGGTATTTTCAGTTATGGCTTTAGGTCACTGTTACAGTGAGTCACCATGCAATGCTGAAGCGTAGCCGGTGCTGGCCGGCCCGAGTGGCCACATTAGAGGCTGCGCATTCCCAGGAGCCTCAGCGGAAGGGTTCGGCTGCAAATAACCAACACTCCTTTGTGGCTGCTTTAAACCGCGCTCCACAAACACTAACAAGTCAGGGTCCATACAAAGAGACAAGGACAGATTTAACATCAGACACCACGGGTCATGCTAAAATAAACAACCACACCACCTCCGCCGTTTTGGGCTGTAGCTTCGGGGTGACGCATAAACAAATACACAAACTTGCAGACGTGTGTTTTATGCAAAGTCTAGCCAGTAAACTTTTTTTTCTTTTTTTTTAACCATATAATTCTCAAACTCCATTTAGAATCACTGTTTAAGGAGAATGTGAATCAAGTCCTGAGTGAGAATGCTACGTCAATTTCAGTTACTCAGAATAAAAACTGTTTTGCTATTTTAGATAGAAATGGAAATTAGAGCAACTTTGTTTCTAGTCCAAATGACACATCAACAGGGCTTTTCTACTTTTCTTCCTGATGTGATTTTTGACATTATAAACCAAAATGAATTTTTTTATTTATTTTTTTTGCCATTCATGCTAAATAGCTGAATCGAGATTACGTGTTTACATTTGTGTTCAGGACCTTTATATGTTCTTGATTCTGCCCAGACAGCTCAAAATAAATAAGTTTACTAAAACCAGGTGAATCTGGTTGATGTGCCCTCAACCACAACTCACTGTAGGTGTTCTCTACCCAGAGAAATCTTCAATTAGTCCTTGCATCAAATACACATAGCAATTAAAACTTCTTTTTTAGCTGACTCAAACTCTCCCTCCCACGAAACAATCTGTCCAAGTCAAATCTGTCCACCATTACATTTTTAAGGAGAGCTTTTCAGAAACTAAAGGGGGTGAATCCAGTTTTGGTTCCCTGGTCTAGGCGCAGGCTTTGCAGGGTGAAGACGGGGACACCTTTTTGTTTTCCCACCGTAAACAAAGCTGGAGACTCCTCTCAGAGTTTAAGAGGTCAGCTTGGAGTAATTGGGTGGAGAGAAGCGTCTGCGCAGGTACTTGAGGATGTACAGGGGCAGACAGCTCACCAGCGTGATGACCGTCACCTTCCACAGGAACGACACCGTGGCGATGAAGTATACGTCTGGCACAGAAGAAGGGTCAAAGGTCAAGATGATGTTGTCAGCTACAAACATGCATTTCTCTTTTTTTTCGTCATTTTCTTTTTATTGATTTTTCCATTTGTAAACAGACACACAAAAATAATGAACAAGAATACCTTTTGGTGAATATATAACATCAGGGAGAGAAAATTTTAAAAATGCCTAAAGAGACTTGTAGAGATTTCAGGTTGTCAATGAAACAAGGAGAGTAAGAGAGAGAAAGAGAGATAGTACTAATAATGACATTAATAGTAATGATATTAGCAGTGATATTTAACCAAAGTTTACCTGAAGTCTGGTTCAACGGTAGAAATATATGCAGTCCACGTTTGCCAATTTTCAACAAATGCATGTTTAAGATTCTCAAGTTAAAAGTAATTGTTTCCATAACAAAGATACCATGCACAGTATCAAGCCAATCATCTACACTGGGTGCCTCCCTTTTCAGCCATTTTCTTCGTAATGGATTTCTTACAGGCCACCAACAATATTCTTAATAGGTATTTATCCAGGCTGCAAGGTGGCACAGTTGGTAGCACTGTTGCCTCGCAGCAAGAAGGTCGCCGGTTTGCGTCCCGGTGGGGGCACCGTGATCTTTCTGTATTGAGTTTGCATGTTCTCCCCGTGCAGTGTGGGTTCTCTCCGGGTTCTCCGGCTTCCTCTCACAGTCCAAAAACATGTTGAGCTTAATTGGTGATTCTAAATTGTCTGTAGGTGTGAATGTGAGTGTGCTTGGTTGTCTGTCTCTAAGTGTAGCCCTGTGATAGACTGGTGGCCTGTCCAGGGTGTCCCCTGCCTTTGCCCTGAGTCAGCTGGGATAGACTCCAGCACCCCCACGACCCTAGTGAGGATTAAGCAGTGTATAGATAATGGATGGATGGTATTTATCGTTGCTCCTCCAATCAAGTTTCTCCAAATTGACTAGGTACAAGAGATTGAAGCTTAAAGTAATTTGAGTAAAAAAAAAAAAAAACAGTCTCTAGAATTTGGTGTGTTTTGAACCAAAATGGAATTACAGCAGGGCAACTCCAAAATATATGAAAATGATTTTCCTCTTTGCTTCTACAATGTCTCCATCAGGATGTCCGATTTGAATACATTTTGTTTTCAAACATACATTTCTAAATGCTACATAACGACTTTGGAAGAAGAAAGTCAAGCAATTTCTTTGTCAGTTTTATCATAACTGTAGCGGAAGTCATTTTATGTCCTCTGGTGAAAATCAAGTTTTTGTTATATGGCGTTTTATATTTGCTAAAGGACATATTTGTGGCTGAACGATTTTACCTTGAATCTACAGAGGACAAATGATGGTCACAAACACTTCAGGCTTCACAAAATAATTTTTCTACTTGTCAGTGTTTACTGGAAGGCAACAAAAGTCAAATTCCCTGTGTGTGAAAACCTACTTGGCACAAAAACTAAAACCTGAGGAGTCAACCTGTTTGAACCTGTACAGCTAAATTACTCCAGTGCCTTTACAATGTTTGAGCAGAGATGTGAGTGAGCTGGTGTGCTCGAGTTGCAGTGAGTCGGGGGGGAAAGAAGAAAAAAGAAGAAGCGGAGACTTCTAAGATTTACACATTGTAAAGGAGGCAACGCCATAGTGTTGCATATGAGCTGTTTAAGGCACAAAGGGATTATCCATAATCTATACACCGCTTAATCCTCACTAGGGTCGCGGGGGGGCTGGAGCCTATCCCAGCTGACTTAGGGCAAAGGCAGGGGACACCCTGGACAGGTCGCCAATCTATGACAGGGCTACACTTAGAGACAGACAACGAAACACCTACAGACAATTTAGAATCACCAATTAACTTCAGCATGTTTTTGGACTGTGTGGGAGGAAGCTGGAGAATCTGGAGAGAACCCACGCTGCATGGGGAGAACATGCAAACTCCACACAGAAAGATCCCGGTGCCCCCACCGGGATGCGAACCGGCAACCTTCTTGCTGCGAGGCAACAGTGCTAAACAACTGCTACACCTTGCAGCCCACGAAAGGATTATTTTCATGGAAAATCCAAAGAAGAGAGTTGAGATAATCGTGTATCAGATTTGGTTATAATAAACCAGTTAGTCCTATTCTTGACATAAATTGCGGCAATAGTGTTTTAAAGTGTTCATAAGCAGGTCAAACTGCATTTGCATTCAGATCAGCAGCATGCATCTGTCCCTGTCAGCTCTCTCCCTTCGACTCACACTGAAGAGGAACACCTTTAGAATGTCCATATCAAATAAAAAAAAGCATTTCTCGTAGGAGTTCTTGACAAAGTTGGAACCATATTGGTCCAGACTGAATGCAGGAGACAGGAAAATCCACCTTGGAAAATGTCCAACAAAGCGCATACAGTGCGCACACGACAGAAGAATAGCCTTTAAAATCTATTCCAGTCTGACTTCAAGAGGGACAGAAAGTGTCCAAAAAGGGTACACTTGACCACATGCCAGTCATGATCCTCAGTGGTTGAGATTGTAGGCTGAAAATGGAACTCCACACCCCACATAAAGCTGAAAATAAAGACTTGAAGAGCTCTTGGTCAGAGTATTGTGTATGTCATGAGTCTTAATATGGCACCGCTAAAAATGGCTTATTTTTTGTCAACCACAGTAAATAGATGTCCAATAGCCTGGCAACAAGCACAGAGGAACAGAATGCGATTAACACTGTCAATACACTTTTCTTCTGCTGGAAAAGCTGTTCTTTCAGGCTTCTAATAGCTATGAATGTGATCCTATCTGACACTGACAGAAAGCTATTTTTGTGGGTTTCTACCAAACACACCTTTACTGTGAAAAACACATAAACCTTGGCAGTTGACAGGAAACTAACCAGACTGTTGGCGTTTCCTCTTTTGCACTACAGTAAGCCCGAGCCCCGTTCAAACCAGGACAATTTTTCAATACACTCACCTTTAGACTTCCTAATATCCAGCATACCACAGCTTATTGTTCACTAGAGACACAATATGAATGAGCAGGTCTCCCCTCACTGCTGAATGCTGACGTCTATTTCAAGGTCGGCCAAAGCACAATAACATCAATCAGTCTGCAGTGAAATGAACGCAGACGTGCATTTGTTTTCTTGTCTTTATGAAATATGCTGCTACAAGTTCCCAGTCACCTTCTGTGTGGCTGAAATAATGAGTGTAGGTGTGTGTGCTTGCAATCTCCTACCGATGAACTCGTGCAGGAACACGAGCGAGGCGACGTAACACGCCAAGCTCAGGAGCTCGCCGACGATCATGAGCCAGTGCCACGTCTGGATGGTCAGGGCCACCATCAGCAGCTCAGTCAGGATGAGAGAGGTGAAAGAAATGGCAACGATGTGGACGAACTCTGACTCGAAGAGCAGCAGCGCCCCGTACATGATGATGCTCCCTGGGGAGGAAAAAGAAGCCGCAAGCTGAGAAAGAGTCCAACACCAAGTTTAATCAGCACTCTTAAAGTAATGCACAATCTAATGGGTTAATAAATGCCTTAACAAACCCCCTGCTCAGACTACAACTGGGGTAATTTCTAACCCAGTCCAGTTTGTAACTTAGGTGCATTGTCTGAGCTAGAATCATAGCATTCATGGATATAGTGGTAAGTATTTTATGTCATACAGTGATTCACCTAAATGCCCTTTACAAACTACCACAAATTCTGGACTATAAGCCGCTACTTTTTTCACACACTTTGAACACTGTGCCTCACTGCTTGACAAAATACAGTAGATTGAAGATGAGCTGTAAAAGGGAAAGCTCATGTTATGAAAAAACTAGATTACAGGGTGTAGCTTCAGACGTCCCTGCGAACAGCTTTTACTTGCAAATACTTGATGTCATAAAGTCCTTTCAGCTGTGGGCTGTTTATAGGTGACATGTCATGAAGCAGTGCTACATACCTTATTTGTTTACCAGAGAATGATTCATTTGTCTCTCCAGACTAAACACCTGAGCTGCATTGTTGTGCTTGATCTGATGTCTTGTACATCTACAAACTACTTGCTAAGTTTATGGTGTGAATACAGTTTGAATGCTCCAGAGCAGCTGACTCTGTGTACTGGAAATGTGTTTATAACTCATGACCAGCAGTTTCCACAAGTGCTGCCTTACCTTGATAGATACTTATTAGGACCCATATTAGAAATGTCTTGAAAGATAGTGGTCGACCCTATGAAAAGAAAACAGTAGAACATCATTCACCATGTCTGCCTATAACATATGTGGCTGCACAGCAACACCAAGGGTGTGACCATTAGTTAAATACCTTCAAGAGATCTTTATATAATTCTGGGTACAGCATGGCAACCTCTGACTTCACATCTTTGTCCAACACAAGAGAGAAAACAGGGAACATGGTGTAGATAGTAGAGTAGCTGAAAACAGACAAAATCAAGCGTGATGAATATGTCCCAGATAAAATGGCACATGTACAAGATGCTTCATGCATTTCATTGTAAGATTCAGCATATTTTCATATTTTCCCCTTCTCACATTTCAACAGGGCTTTAACACAGAGGAAATGCCAGAGAAACAAGGCAGCCAAATGCTCTCTTGATAAGTCATCACCATTCGGAGCTTGTATCTCACCCAATAATCAGGAATCCTTGGTAGAGTGGGACTGAGGCAAAGTAGAAAACAGAGGAGAAAACCGCCTGCAGAAACAGAGAAAGACAGTAAACCACTATTTATTCTTCTTTTCATATCAACACCCATTACAGATAATAATGGAAGAAAACACTTAGAATCACATTTTAAATAGTACACATATAACCTTCAAACAGCTCATGTTCAGAAAACACACCAAAATAAGCATATACCAATAATCTGGCATGGTAACACACAAATTACAAGGTAACCACACTGACTAATCAGTTAGCTAAATCCCACACATAAAACGCAATAATCCTCTTTCTACCGCAGTGCTACTGCTGCCCGGATGATGCCAAGATTGAGCTGTCAACCACTCAGCTCGCCAACCAGGCGGCCCCAAACCAGACAGGTCACAGATGCAGCTGTGGTTGCCGTTAATGTGAGACATGTGGAGGAGAGCCTCCCAAAAACCCCAAAGTCCACGATGCAGTGAGTCATGGGCTGTCCCTCCACAGCGGGGGCTGAGGTAGGACTGGGACATGGGAACTGGACAGGGAACGCTGTTGGGTTTGGGGGGCGGGGGGGTCAGCTTAGAAGGGCACCACAAGCTGCCTCCTCTGAGTCATTGTGCACCCCACCCTTCCATGACCACCCCTGAAACTTCCCTCTGGCTTGCCTCAATCAATTCCTTTTCACAAGCAGATTTTGGGAATAAGCACAACTACTAAAAAATATCTCCCTGTCTGTACCTCAAGGTTGTGTATGAGATATGCTGCAGTGTATTTTTATGGCTATGGCTCAGATGATCAAAGTGAAAAACTTACCTGCTATACTAATGTCCTATTTTTTTACCTTCAAAGACAAAACACTGTCCTTGAGTTGAAACTGAAAATCGCTGAATCACATACTCTTCAATACATATCGACCTCATAACAGCACCAATTGCTGATTACTAAATATAAAGCGCCTATATAAAGTATTCACCCCCTTGAGAGTTTTTAACATTAAATCACAGTCAATACAATTTGACTTTTGTGACAAGAACTTACAAAAAAAATAAAAATAAATGCTGCAATTGTGGCCAAAGGCCAAATGTTTAAAAAAAATAATAATAAGGGAAAGCTTATGAGGAGGGTAAATATGTTTCAAAGGAATTAAATCATAGCAACATGTGTTTGTAGTAATTTCTCTTTATTTTAGCGTATTACCTAAATAGGCATGTTTAGCAAATGTATGTCAGTAGTGGAAAGTTAAATAAGGAAAAATAATTACATTACCATTTCTTTACGTATTTTAGATGATTAAACTAAAGTGACTGAAACACTTGAGGTTACAATTTCAAGGTGTGTAAGATTTTACAGTTTCATAAATTGTCCTGCCTTCACTCTAAGTCAGCTGGGATAGGCTCCAGGCCCCCGCAACCCTTGTGAGGATTAAGCGGTGTATAGATAATGGATGGATGGATAAACTGAAAATGGAAATTAAGCCAAATGAACTGGAAAATGTTTGTAATTCAAAGCTATAATTTCAACACTTCTTTTGAAGAAAAAGCTAAATGTCGCTATGTATTAGCTGGACTCTACCTGCATGGTGCTGATGCACAAGCTCCTGTGGATGACAAACTGGCTGAGGGCTGCAGACCTTTTGTAGCTGTTGCGACCGTGGACCATGAGGAGACGGCCTAAATGTTTGAACTGAGTCACTGAGAAGTCGGCAGCCAAAGAGGCCTGCTTTCCTTCCTGTCGAACACACAGGACAGAGGACAGTGAGGACACGCAACACAAAGACTTTGCTGACCTGAAAAGCATGCAGTGTTTATTGTGAATTGATCGCACAATGACAGATATAAAGCTTGGCAATTGGGAAACACACACACACACACACACACACACACACACGCCTACACACACACAATAAAATCTAACAAATGTAATGTGCAAAATGTGCCATGTTAATCCAAAAAAAGGTAATGCAAGTATTCAGGCTCTTCACTGTGAATTTATCTGCCAATTCTTTTCTTGAATAATTAATTACAAAATATCAGAAAACAGGGAAAATGCTCATAACATTCATAACATTTCCATACTGAACATTGCAAAACCAAATATTATTTAAAGTTTAATAAGTCAAACAAATCTGTGTATTTGAGAAGTTATACCTGTCAAGTGTAAGGTTTGCTTTTTGCTTAGCACATACTGGAATACGTTCAAGTCTGTGGAGCGCCATTGGAGGGATGAACACCATGTTTCCAAAAGATATTGCCTCATTTAGTGTTCTGACAATGTGGTGGACAATGCAGTCAAACACATTGCTCCAAAATCTCCTACAGTTGCTCAGCTCTGCTGAGACCTGGTGACTGTGAAGGCCAGAGCATATGATTCACACCATTTTCACCCTCATTAAACCGTTCAGTGACCCCTCATGCCCTATAGATAGGGGCCTTGTCATCCTGGAAACAACTGCTCCCAACAGGAAACCAATGTGTCATCAAAGGATAAAGGTGATCACTCAGAACAAGTTTATATTGATTTACAGTGACCCTTCCCTCTTAGGGGGTAAGTAGACGCAAACCATGCCACAAAATGCCCCCCCACAGTATAACAGAGTAACCAGATCCCCTTACTGTGGGGTTCAAGGGTTCTAGTTTTTCTTTTAATTTTTCACCTGTCTGTATATGTATATCAATGAAAAAATTAGTAATATCGAGCAGCATAGACAGGTTAATGGATGCAATATTACCTTCCACATCTATTAGTTTAGAGTCAGTTTTGTATGTTCGGGTTTCTCTTTAATTTTACAATGATATTCACAGTTAACTGTTATCGTAAGCAGTTTTAATTGCTAAGATCAGCATGAAGGATTTGTATTAACAAAGATGGCTGTACCAGCAATGTAACAATACTTCAAGTAAAAGCTCAGCTTTTTTTACAAAGGTGCTTATTCACTTTCTTGCCAACAGTTGGATGAAAAGTGTGATTTCACTGATATTTGTCCATTCATTGGCTAGAACCATGAGAAATGGAAGAGGCAGGCGGATGAGAGATTCTTACTTTTACTTAAGCTTAAAAGCATCCTGTCATCTTTGTTTCCTCTACTCGGACAATAGATTCTCATAAAGAGGAATCATCTGTGTGCACGTCCCTCTACAACTCCCTGAATGTGAGAGAGATCTTGACAGGAAACACAAAGCAAAAATCTGTGAGAGTGGCACGTCAACGCGAAGTGATGAGATGGAGAGAGTCTTACTTTTCCCTCCACTCCCACGCCACAGTCAGCTTCCTGGATCATGCTGACATCGTTTCCTCCATCCCCTAAGAGAAAACAAAAGCCATGGCGGTGTCAGGATTCACATCAGCGGCTCACCAATACAAACTGTTGGTTAGAGTATCATATGCATGTGTATTTCATGAGACGCTCCCTTAATTTGGCCTGGTTAACGCCTGGCTAAAAAACAGGTCTGAAAATCCTAGCAGATTTTGAGAAAATGCACATAAAGGGAAACTTCACAGATATTCTTCTCTCTAATTTCAGACATGCACACCCTGCAACATTTTAAAATAATGGTGCATCACATACTGCAGGATGTTGTTAAGATTATTGTGCCGGAGGGAGCAGAGCACCACCTCTCGTGATCTTATAGGGAAGCAGATGGAAACAAAATGGAACCTTGCTGAAAGACTAATATAAGTTTGAATTAAGAAAAAACACAAAAGCAGAGGAATGAGCAAGTCTGGATGAAAATATGGCTGGAAAGCTGCAGTCAACATGGTTTCTCTTTTTTAATATCTGTAGTTAACGTTAGCCTGAAGGACTACGGTGTTTACTGTTGTTTGGTAACGGTGTCCACGACTGTGATAATCGTAACCATACAGATTACAGATTGTATTTAAGCAACCATAGGTCATTCTCACTATGGGCAGTCCTGTATTAGCAAGCAGAGAGCGTTGTGTGGGTTTAGGTAGCAACGAGCACCATGACAAAGACTTCTAGTGGCTTCCAAACAGAACTACCACATATAAGACCAGCAGCTGTTTACTTGGACAGTCTGTAAAATTGTTAATTGGAGAAGAAAGTCACATTTTGAACTTTTCATACTAATCAGATGTTGCCCAGTGTCTCTGCTGTGGTAAATTCAGCCTTGTATGTGTTTTTAGAAGTTATACGGTATAATGTGTACGTGAATGAAGCTATTTATTTGAACTGAAGTTAGTAGTTATCAGTGTTGCCTCTCTGGCTGCAATCAGAGACACATAAAATCTTCATTCATTTTTAAAACTGAAGCCCTAATAAAATACTCCTAACCAACTTTAGTGAAAATGATGAAGTTTTAATTTCCAAAATGTCACAGATACCATGCTAAATATCCTTAGTTTATAATTATGATTTATCCATCTTTAAGTCAGAGATGAAGTAGATTTAAACGGAATTAGTGTGCTGGAGAGATGAGTTGATGAAGTGACGGTGGTTTGTGGCTGAGATATAAATGTGTTAAGTGGGATGTAGATAACAGAAAAAAGGTGTTAACTGTTTAAAAAAAAAACCTTCAGCAAAAAACAGAAAACTAAAATTAAACTGAAAGCTGTACAGACTAAATCTCCCACATGGAAAAGCTGTTGGACCATCTCTATTTTCTACTCACCTACGGCGCAGGTGAGTTTGCCTGTGCGCTCTTGCAACAGTCGAACTATCTGAGCCTTCTGAGTCGGGGTGCATCGGCAGCAAACCACAGCGGGACACTGGCATGCCAGTTCCATGAATTCGTATTCATAATATTTCAGGCAAACCTGCAAGAAAACCGCAGAACGGTCAGGTTTAACTGATTTCAGCTGTGGCTCTTAAACATCTCAACTCAGCTTACAGTTAACCTCCTACTGTGGTTTAGAGAGCAACTCTAACCACAGACAGCCCTTACAGAGAAGCTTCGGTGGAAGTGATACTATCATGCAGAAAACATGTCAGTTTCATAAGGAGAGATAAGTCAGTGGGATGAGGGTTATAAACGCACATAGACGCTCTTACCTCAAGCGAGTCCCCTGATATCACCAGAGCGCAGTCATGTTTTCTCCTGAAGGCGTTGAGCTCCAGGTGGGCTTCCCCTCGTGTTGTCACCTATAGGCAATGTTAACCACAATTTCAAATGCATGCATATGCAAGTATGCACAAAAAAGACTCGCATCAAAAATTATCAAGGATGACAATCTGTCAGCCTTTGCATGGTTTTGGCTGTTATCAGGCAGAAGAATGGCAGCTTGGTTCTTTCCAGCTGCAGTGATGACAAACCGCAACTGAATAGCTGCAAAACACCTGACTACCTAAATACAAAATAGATAATATAAAACGCTGAACCTAATATTTTCTCTCATCAACTCTTGATTTACTGATTTGTTTCTCTCCTGGTTTCAATATAATCCATAATCTGATCTGTGTTCGTATCCTTGTTATTTGGATCATTCTTCCTTATATACAAATTGTCATGAGATGTCAACATAAGACAACAACTTAACCAAAAGTAGAGACATACATGCATCACTACTTTTTGAGGATTGTGCATATTTCCATTACATTGTTCTAGAAATAGTATAGTTTAATTTAATCTGATAATCTCACCACAGTGAATCAACACAAGAACAAAAAAGAAAAAGAATTACAAATTTAACTAATGCTCAATACAAGAATCTGTTGTCTACCATTTTGCATTATATCTGGACAAATATATACAAAACACATTTGTAATTATTCTGTGAGTTTTAAATTACAGTTTGCTAAAAATGATTACTTCAAATAACGCTTTGAAAAACTATTTAACAATATGATCCTATTACCAGGTCATGATACTATTACAGTCAATATGATGATACATTTAATTTACAGGCCTATTAGCTTAGCACTAAAACTTTAGGAGAAGACTGGTATGTAAACTGAAAAAGAATGATGATGATATCCTAAAAATTCGCCTTAAATGTAGGGAGAACTAAACTATATTATGTTATAACTGATTTACTGATTGTTTATCTTGTGTTTATAAATGTTCAACAGATAATAGATAATACATCTACGTTAGAAAGGAAAACTAGGAGGCAGGAAAATATAATGCATAAAAAAAAAATCCAGTTTCCTGAGTTTCCTAACAATTGTGTCAAGTTCAAATATAGACTTAAAAATCTCCAAAAATGCAGCACTGACAAGGCATGGTGTTAATCTGTCAACAAGAGCTGTGCTCTGGTATGAATATCCTTCAACCGCTGACTATTCATACGTCAATCCAGATCTGGCCATTGGTGGCCACCAGGAAACTAATCCAGATGTATGTGTTGCAGGCCCAGTCAGCACTCCCCTGTCCACTGGGACAGAGGTTTTCAAGCCGTGCCAGCCATTGTTATTCTCTTCCAGTAACCGCAGTTGTACGCAAGTTGTAACCTTCCTATATGGCAGGCGCTCCTTCTGCTCTGGCACGGCTCCAAAGGGGAAGGCAGAAGGGGACTATCAAAGCAGCTAGAGAGCCTGAAACCTGCAAAACAAATTAGGAAGTGAGCCCTCTGCATGTTCCCTCTGGGAGTGGTTCAGCTGGTTTCTTCTCTCTGTTCGAGCGAAGGGTTGTTTGTTCTCTTTGACAGTGGCTTGGATGCTTTCGTTGGTGGGAGGTGATTTATTCAGCTGTGGATGCTGGCTTGGGCTACATGCGTAGCTGTGTGGGGTTGCATGACCACGAGTTAATGGGCTTTGGTCACTGAGCATGGATGCCCTTGGCTCGACAGAGTCAGGAATCTGTCAGTGCTGCATTGAAGTGAGATGAGGCCTATGGTAAAATCAACCATTATATGCACATAAGAAGGAGAAAGGTCCTTGTCCTGCACTTACTGGTCTGAAGATATGGATGTCCTGGTTACGGGTGATCAGATGGGCGTTCTTAGCGGTGCATGTGGCAGTTTCAAGCTTGTCTCCCGTCAGCATCCAAACCTATTCAGAAACCAGAAAATAGCATTTAGCCACAAAAATTTTCACTCCACTAAACTTCAGAGATCAAAGACTAATCACTGACTTGATCGAGTAACTCTTTCACTGTTGAGCCTCTTGCAATCAAAAACAGTTGACTTTATCTTAGTATTTAGATCTCATACTGATTGTAATAGTTTTTTTGATGTTGCATATAAAAGAATACAGCAAAGCTTTGATGGACGATTCATTAAAATCACAAAAACCATTTCTTAAATTTTGCAGTTTGGGGTTTTACTTGCTCAGATTTTGAGATATTCCTACTTCTTGACATGTCTGACTCCACCCAAATTCCATGGAGATGAGTTGAATGTAATTTCTGCTGCTCACAGCAGTAAAAAATGACATTTAAAAGGTTCAGTAGTAACATAACTTTCCAGAGACAACGTTCTGTTCCTGTGGATAATCCAAGGAGCAAGAAGTCAAAAGTTTATTAGTTACTGCAACTACTTTCTACAGAAGAATTAGTGCCTAATAAAGTGTTGACAGCACATTCTGTCGTTCATCGAGAGTTGCAGGGAAACTGCACTGCTGCTGATTTTTATTCATTACATTTTTTAAATGCTACAAGCTGCAGAAATGAAATTTTATTCACCTCCACTGGAGCAGAAATCCTGAGCAAATAAAACTAGTCCTTATACTTAGAAAGAGGTACTTGAATGAAAATTGTTCATGCAGGTAGATATGAAAAACACATGTACTTGTCTAGTTTCTATGTTTTGTTTTCTTAGTTTGTTGCTACTGTGAGCTATAAGGCCATCCACCCCCCCAGACCTTGATGCCTGCATTGCGAAGGATCTCCAGGGTGGGCCTGACATCAGTCTGGAGCTGGTCCTCCACCCCAGTCAGGCACAACAACTCCATCTCCATCTCGAGACTCTCAATCACGGTGGCCACCTTCAGAGAGCGGTCATGGACACTGAGCTTGGCCTGGACATATCGCGCCTGGGGAGCAGAGGAAGCAGAGGAATGGGAATATTGTGAGTGGGAGGATATGAAATTAGTGTAAATAAGGTAAAATCATTGCAAGACCAAAGATGGAAAAGGCAAGAATAGAATATCAATCTGGCTAGCAGCCGTATAAGTCATGACAAACAGGGAAAGAAAAACTGAATCAGAAATGCCTCATGCAAAGTGCAATAATTAGTCAAATTTTACGATCTACACAGAGACTAAACTATGTGCATGTGTATACACACCATCCAAAATCCACTGAAACCTTTAGAAAAGATTAAAGTTTCAGTATCACAAATGTCAGCTATTTGCTTTCAAACTGAAAAATACTACTGTAAGTTCTACAAAGCTGCACATACAGAGCAGAAATAATCAATTGGTCAACGCCCATCTTTAGCCTTCCAGCTCCAGGGCAATTTGCAAGTGAGATAAAGCAAAAACAATCTGAGTGTGACTCATACAGGAACATAAACTCTGTGTGTGACTCAGTTGGTGACTCACTGCTGCCCACCAGCTCTGCTCACTCAATTATACACTTCAGTAATGGGCCTGGGGCTAACAACTGCAGGGGAGACAGCCCTGCCCTGCTCAAACAATGAGAGGGGCTTGGTGAATGTGTGTGGGAGGGTGGGGTGGAAGGACTGGGGGGTCAGAGGTTAGTCTGATTACCCAAGAACATACTTTGACATTTAGAAATAGAACATGTCTGCCCAAAGTATCATTCTGTATTTTGTAGTGTATCAGTCAACAGACATTAGCTGTAATTAGAGCATAAAAGAAACAGTTTCTATTATGCTGTTAAAAGTTATAAATGCTTTTCTGGTCTAGTCAGTTCAAGACCTACTGTGTCTTAATATCATGAGCGGGCGCTTACCTCAAAATCTTGATACTGCTCCTCAGTCAGCGACTTCTTGGACACCACAAGGACCCTCAGACCTTCTCTCGCCATGTTCCCACACTAGAAAACAAGAGACAACGGCGTCTGGATTCAGTAGGTTACAACGTCTATGAGTCTATGAGTCACATTTAATGGGAATAAAATCACTCTCATTATGTCTGCATCACATCTTGCGAAAAAGAGGGAAATGTACCTCCTCTTCCAGCCAATCATTGTACTGGACGATGCCTGCCATCACCACATCAGCACCCTTCATGTAGAAAGTTATCTCCCCTGTAGATTCATCCTAGAAAGCAAGTTATTTACAGTTTATTGACTGTAAACAGAAAATAGAAAACTGATCATCTCAGATTAAAATTCCCAACTATGCTTCTCTTAGGATGGATTTCCAGTATGTACTCATATAAGCCAAGGGCAAATGCACTATTTTATGATTTTTCTGTTGCCTGGAAATGCATAACTTATTTTGGAGGCTTTTAAAAAGTGTTTGAAAATATTATCATGTGGAAGTCAAGTTTAAAAATCCCAGACTTCCTGGGTTATATCTCAGCCAACAAAAATAGTTGAGTTAGTCATCAGACTTAGTCAGAAGTCAAAAGGTGAGGATTTTCTCAGATAATATGCTTTAATACGGGTGGGATTTTCTTTTGTTTTTCATGTTTAAATCAGTGCCAAGTTTGAATCAGCATCCTAGCAACTACAGCTGCACTGTGTTGATTGTAACTCAAAATAATGCACAATCAATAGGGAACAAACACAATTCCTATGAAGCATGTAATGAAGCAACATGGATAATGGCCACTACAAACAGAAGAGAACATTAGCAACAAAGTCTTTCTGGCACTCACTCGCACAATAATGCCCATCCTCTTGCTCTCATAGGTGAAGGGAAATATCTGAAGGATAGTGAAGTTCAGTATTTGGCCAGTAGGGGTCCGCAGCTGCATGGACGACTGGTCCCTTCCCACCAGTGTCAGCCCAACACTCTCTGTCCACTGCACCAGCGACACCTATCAACACCACAGTGCAAAGGCTTTAGTGAGTGGTCATTAAAATAAAACACTGACACTGAATATTTGGGACAAAAAGATGAACAGGCTGCAATATTTATACAATATTTTTATTTTTTTAACAAATAATAACATATGATCATAATTCAGGAACACACAGATAAAAAAGTGACTGCTGCTTGTGTTTTTTTATTATTCTGATGCAAAGCCATTATGTCAATATGATGTTCCATTACTTGAATTTCACAGAAAACAGTGAAGGCCACTTTGGAGAGAGTAGATTGTCAGAGAGCACAATGACCATTCAGCCTTAATCAATAGCTTGGGCATTTTCAGCACTTAAGACTATTGATTGATAAACTTGGAAGATGTCCATTTCTGAAGTGAAAATATTGTTTCTGCTCGAGAGTTTCTGAAGGACACAACAGATGACATCCATTAATACAATAGTTACGTGTCTGTGTGTGTGTGTGTGTGTGTGTGTGTGTGTGTGTGTGTGTGGGGGGGGGGGGGGGGGGGGGGGAGGGGGGGGGGGGGAGAGAGAGGGGAGAGAACATTGCCCAATAACTTCCAGACCAGAAGCCAGATCACATACTCAATTCATCATCCATCTTCTGACAGGACAAGTAGCAGAAGAGCCAAATGGACACAGATGAGAGAAAACAAGGACGACTGCTATGTTCCAACACTAATTTTAAAAACACAGATTTTGTGGTTTCAAAATTACTTATTTTGGAAATATGTGCCATGTCGTCTGGCGATGCCTGGCTGGGAGCGCTTTAACGTCAGAAAAGCTCCGACTACCGTAATGTTTGTCATCCAGGTTGGGAAATATGAAGATTACGCTTAGTCACAGTCTAGAAATATTCATTGTGGAGGAATTCTTGGATCTGGTGTCCACCACAACAGCACCACCTTATAATAGCAGCATCTGGGTTTGCTGTCCCATTTCTAACTTGGGCTGAAAAATGCTGCATCCAGCAGGTTTGACTCAGACCCACCACATGGCTTTCTTTTTTGTTTTTTTGGTCAATTGAAAAGAAAAGTGATTCAGATATCAATGCTCCTAGTGAATGGAACCATACATGATATAGGTCACCCTTGTGACGAGTAGTTCCAGGGAATTTTTTTGCCCCAGAGTCCAGGTCATTTAATATTTTGTGTTTAATACTTTATGTTAAAACAAAGTCCCAATCTGACACATTTTCCTAGATAATACCCACTTTAAGTACATCTTAAATCAGTCCAGTGCTTGACAAGTAAACATCTCCAGCAATGTATTAAGAAAAAAATTACATTTCAGGCATACAAGCTGTGTCTTAATGTTATGTAGGTGGTCATGATCTTTGTTGTACAGCTTCAGTAGCACACTTTGAAATGTAGTGTAGAGAGGGTAGTGTGTATCGTGGCTACAAAAGCAATGAAAACCTGTATTCTTTACATGTCTGTCAGAAAATGTATTGTAGATTAGCCTTTGTACCTGGTTACACTACCAGGTGGAGCTTCGTGCTGTTTAAAACTGTGGCAACTTGGCCAACAGGCAGTTTTGTGTTGGTAAACAGAGAGGATTGTGGGGGTTTCGCTAACAATGGGCCACAATGACAAAGACTTCTACGATGTTTATTGTCCTTTGGTCAGACTTCACAAGTTTAGGAAAAGCTGACCTGAACAGTGTTTCTATATCTTAATATAGCCCTAATTTATGTGTTTGTTGGCCAAAACAGCAATACTAATATAGGATGAATACTCAGTGGCCAATTTGTATAATCAATAAATTGATAATTAGATAAATTGCCCAAAATGTGCTCCCATAACACCACAAACAGACAGAGCAGACATAAACAAAGGATCGGGCTTATAATCACATATGAAGAACATTACTCTAATATTAATACATGGGACAAGAAAACATTGTACTTTTTTTTGCATGTAGACAGTGGTTAAATGTCACAAGGTAAAAACCATGCCTTCAACAGTCACTCACGTTGTGTCCACTGCGCTCACAATAAAAACCAGATCTATATTAAGACTTCCTGACAGTTGTAGCGAAGCAAACTGAATCTGCCCAGATAGCACCATACTGATGAGATGTAAATTTTAGGTCAAAGGCAGCAATTTTCAACCAGCATGCCTTAAAACAGCTCTAACTCCTTCCAACAATACTATAGGACAGTTTCTTTAATGTTTACACTTTAAATGCACTATCACAGAGGAAATTCAGAAGAGGATGAGTGCAATGGGCTTGGGAGCACATTAAGGAAATCCGTATTTACACCGCAGGAAATGGATCAATTCAAATTCCGCAGCTCTCTTCCTGATGTTCAAAGAATTTATACTGATCAAGGACATACGTGTGGAATGCAATTTGGTATAAATGTCCCCCTTCAAGAAATAAAGAGGTTTAAGATAATGGCTTGTACAAGACTATACGTTGAATATTGAAGTGGCATACCTCATGAACACCAGTGTTTATGTATTTGTTCTGTGATAATAACATAAAAGGCAGTAAAAATTAAGTTAAAAAAAAAACAAAACAGTAATACAATTTGCTCTCCTGTTTAAGTAAATTACATGAACATTTTCTGTGATGGATATTTTGTATCTTACAGGCTTTACTATATTTTACAGCTTACACTAGGTATGCTACTCTTTTAATTATTTCATATATTAACTGTGTGCTCTCTCCTGTGAACATTTGTCTCTAGTCTGCTCTTGTTTGTATCAGCTTTACCTTCATGCCTCTTTTGATGTCTTGGCCCATGCTCATATTTCCACATACTGAACTTATATTCAAAGTGAGCTCAGAGAAACCTTCAACTTTTATAACAACCTTGCAGTGTCACACAGTCTGTACAGTGAAGGTTGAACACCCAAGTGAAGTGAAAACATGTTTTTGATTCTTTAATCATTAAAGTTGTTCATGTTACATTTTAGGATATCATATTTAATAATATACTTAAATAGCAATTCAAGACAATATTATTGTACTAAATTTTATAACAGCACACGCCATGTGGGTTTTTGTAAAGCATGATTCTCTCAGTTTTTGAACCCTTCAGTCCTGTGGCTGATAGTAAATATCCAGAATGTCAATAAAATGGAAGAATGTGGTTCTGTGTGGCTAAGCAGTGTACCTCATCTGGACTGGACGCCTGGTAGACTCTGCATGTGTCTTCGTAGTGCTGCTCAGCCTCGGCCTGGTCAGTCACACCGTTGGACTCATACACGGGTGTCACGTTGTGCACCAGGGCGATGGCCTTCACAGCCTCGTGAACTCTGCTGATGATAGACTTTCGGACCTTAGTGGCTGCTGGAGCCCTGGAGGCTGGAGCATCATGGGTGGGCTGGAGATAATTATAGAAGGTACCGTGAATGAAAAAAAGGTTGGAGGAATCTGAAAAGAGTTAAAACAGTATTTTCCAATTGTAGTTGTTCGTTGTTGTAAAGGTTGTTCCAAGAGAAAGCATCTGTTGTGGCAAACAGAACTAATCATCTGTACTGGTAAATGAAAAAAATAGGCTTCATGAAAGCCTGTGGGGTCAAAATTGAAAAATAAATAGCTTATAAGAAAACTTGAAATCCCAAACACACGTTCAAAAACTAACTTAATGGAGATGTCTATGTTTTAGTTTGAGAAAGTAGTTGCTTCACCTCCCAAGTTTCCATGATTACTGTGATAGTGGCCAGTAAACATAACCAGATGTGCAGGGTAAATATGAACAATTTGCTTTTGCATTGTGGCTTTGCTATTTTTAGAAGGCAGTGCGTTCCAGGGGTTAATGGCAGCGTCATTAAAGGAGTCCGGTCAAAGCTTCGCTTGTGCACTAATCCTGTTTCCTGCTTCGCTAACCTCTGGTGTCAAGGGGGACAAAGAGTGTCATCTGAGGCCAGGAAGCACTCGACCAAACAATAATCACAAACTGATATGTTTCTTAAAACAATACTTGTGTCTGTTTGTTTTACCCGTTCTTCAGCTTTTGGAATTTCACTCCTGTTTTTCTAAACGTTGTGAGCGAATTTGTTCATTTTCCGTCACTTTTTCTCAATCTGGCAGTGCATTGCTTTGTGCGCGTCTTTTACCTGTGTGTAGGCGCTGAAAACGTGGCTTTGTACTTCATCCATAGAGTCCATCCCGTATGCCACAGTTCCAAGATGAAGACGCCTGAACACCATTTCGTTTTGGGTAAGAGTTCCTGGTAAAGATTACGAAACAGCCATCAAATAGTAAAAGCGTTAAAACGATATTTCTAAGACTAACTGGTTGTCAGATAGTTTTGCATTAGGATAAACAACAACAAATCTTAAATTATTTCATGGAGTTTTGTTGTTAAACAAACTCTATTAATGTCGATTTCAGTAAAAGTATTTCTACGCAGTTTGTGGGTTGGTTTTAACAAACAGTAATCATCTACCTAAAAGAGAATTTGCATGTCACATATGGTGACTGTTAAAACAGAAAGAAAACCAGAAGGCTTTGACACTACACACCACCGCTGTATCCTCACACTTACTTTAAAAGCATTTTCTGCCAGTGTATCAAAAAGACTTCAGGGGCCTCACACATACATTAGCCTGATCTGCAGACCCCACTGGCCTTATCACACTCTGGATGGGGAAATGGCCAATCATTTTATTGGGCAGGACGGCCATAAATCTGACGTCTAACACCTCACGCCTGAGGAAGTGCACTGGTGGAGGTGTTATGCTCTGAAGGTGTGCATGGATGAGAGACTTTGTTTTTCTTTCTTTTTTTTATGATTTAAGGGTCCAATAAGTAGCAAGTCTCAGGGAGCAGAAACGCCACCGCAGAACAACGCCCTTAGGGAAGGAAACAACTAAACTCTGTCTTACAGGATACTTCCTCGGCAAATCCTCTGCACTAAAACCTCTCATTTTAGTGCTCAGTAGTTCTGTTGGTCACACAAAGAAAGAGGCATGCAGTGTAACCTGTTTTGTCAGTCAGCAGGTAGGAGATGCGTCCAAGCTGTTCGGGTATGGTGCTGGCCCTCACCACCGTCCCAGGGATCTTGGAGTCTTTCTTAATCATCCAACTGAAAACCATCTTGCCCATATCCAGATTGACACGCAAACTGCATCAAATTTTAGGGAGAAAAAAAGTTCCTTTGAGTTTCTTAATATAATGCAACACTGCAGAAAACATTCAAACTAGAACCACATATAGAAGAAAATGAAGTAAAATGAACACATTTGGAATAATAACCTGTTGTTTCAGCTACGCAACAGGGAATACAGAAGTAAAATGCTTGTTATTCTATATATTTATCCAGTCTATATATATGGCAGCATGCTTTTTAAAAAGACAGCTAAACAACAGGCACTGCTTCGCAATTGAAGTAAGTGTTAAGTGTAGCATTTAACTGTAGTTTTCTACAAGAGTAAAAATAACCCCTCTGCAGTTCGAGGTGTAATTGATGATATATATACATTATTTCCTTTTTATCCCATGTTCCCTATAATTCACTAGATGGCTAACTAATTCATGTTAGGTAAAGTCAGAGACTGAGAGATGTGGGTGTTATATTTTAATATAATTTATTTTATATTGTATGGATTTGAAAACAACAAAGTGGGTAAGATTGGCCCATTGGTGGTTTTAATGTTAACAAGAATCTCAAGTCACACCTTATGGGCACAATGTGGGAGAAGAGCAGCAGGAAGCGAAAGATCTGGAGGTACCAACGGCCAGCGAAGTGCTGGAGGGCCACCATGACAAGGGACACCACCACCAGGGCCCCAAACAGGATCTTGGTCAAACAATTTACTTCCAGGTCAAACAAACCCACCTATCACGAGCAACAGGGGCAAACATTATAAGATGAATGAATGCAAACACAAACTGAATGTACAATATGTAGGTCAAAGTAAATCAACAAATGAAAAAAAAAGTTAAATTAACCACTCAGATGACCTAATCTGGATATGCATTTTAAAAATCCTTCAAGCAAATAGTCCTTTTTGCTACAAAATGACCAAATGTTTGTCTCCAGGCTCGGCCAACACTACTGTACCTTGTGCCTTGGGTTGGAGGTGTTCATGACACTGCGCAGTTCTTTGCCTGTGTAAATCACAACCCCCACCACTGTGCCTGGAGTGAGGGAGAGAAAAAGACCAAAACCTCTGCCTCAGGTCAATATAAAAAAGGTACAACATAAAACATAGTATGTCTGGAAGATGTCTCCCAGACTTAAAATCTTGACATGATTAAACTTTTTTCGAATGAAGAATGTCATTTGCAATATAGGATGCAGATTTCCAATTGCTTGATGGGTAACATATGTTAGTGTGGGTTAAACTAGCTTCACTCTCCTGCAGAAGAAGCCCTCTTTCTTTACAACTATGGTTAGCTGCCCTGGGGCTATTTAAAAATGAGCAAAACGTTGGGCTGCCTCATTGTTATTTCAGTGCGTATATTTGGTTAGACAAGTTGTCAGATAAACAGTTATGAAGGAAACAACACTCCAGCGCAGCAAAGGCTGGTCCTGGTTACTCTCTGCTTACTAGCTGATTTATAGGTGCACCACCGTTCAGATATTTACCAGAGGCGACAACAGTGCTGGCCCACAGGGTGTTCTCAATACTGAGACTTTCATTAGCTGGTGGGTCGCCGTCCTCCTGTAACATTTGGTACAACAAATATTCAGAATGATGCAGGATGACAGAAAACAGTTTAAAAAATCCTAAATATGTTAAAATATGTTCGTTATTGCAACATTTATTTTTTTGCAGTTATCCATTTAAACGATATTTTTCTCATTCAGAAAGGTGTCTTTTACATTCATACTTTTGCAATATTGTACAGTACTTGACAACTGCTGCATGAGAAGACAGAGAACAGCAATAAGTTAAAAGGCGTTATGATAAGATAGTTGAGTACTATACAGTTGTGTGCATTTTAAAACCTTTCTTGCTATTGACAACTTAATCATTAACCATTGCTTTTCCAGTTGATCCACTGAATCAGTTCATCATTAGTGTTAATAGACAGCAACTTCTGCTGTTTGTTAAATAAAACTTGACAAGGCAATTATTGCATTGCTGGAAGTTAAAGTGGGACTCTTGTTGTGTTCCTTTTAACTCATATACTGTTCATCAAACATTTGTTGGATATTAACTTGTTTTTTTATGTAGCTGGAAGGTAAACTGACAATATATAGAGAGAGTTTGCCACATTATTGTAGTAACAAGAAGGTTTTTGAACTCTGAATTTAATCAATCAAAGGGTTTTAAAAAAAGTGCTGCTATAGATAGTTAAATAAGAAAAAACTTATTACACTGATAGATTTCAGTGTATTTGTAAATAAAAGAACAAGGCTGAGATAATAAATCAGTTACAGTGATCTCAGAAGGCAGTAAAAGACAAACATTTCTCTCTATGCAGTTTATCCTGCATTTCCATGGACTTCACTCACATTTAATAGCATTCAGTTCAAACTTCTGCTACGAGATGAATGTGAAATTGCCTTGAAATTAACATAAAGGGTTATATATCTGAAAAGGAGCTTAGAGTTGAGCAGCATGGCAATGTAAGCACTTACCCTGGTGAAAGTTCCAATAAAGTTATGGATATCAATGTTTGGCTCTTCTGCATACACATATGATCTAATTTGGAGAAGGTCCTGTCAGACATTGACAAAAATGGTTAAGGATTACAAACAGAAGTGAAGAACATTCAAGTCACACAAGTCTTAGTGAGGTAATGAAGTTACCAAATTGACACAAGCTCGAAATACTGTTTTTGTTTTTTTTTTAAGTTCAGAAAATAAAAGTACACAAAGAAATCAGCCAAATATACTTTATCTGGGTGTGCCAGAATGTTGGTACACAACTACATTATCATTTACAGCTTGTATCTGCATTTTACACCGAGAAACTTTGCTTGAGGCTATAATTAGCAGACAAACTGCTATGACACATTCAAACAATAATTACTCCCAGACTTGTTTGACAAATATGGCAGCTATATGTTGTTTATTCTCCAAAAACGTCCGGTCAGCAGTGACTCAGGGGCAGCATGGGTGGGAACAGTTGCAATTTAAGGGTGAGTGACACCCAGAGCTGCAACTTACCGGTATTTATTATCAATGGTTAATCATTTGGTGCCATTTGGTGCATATTACAAAAAATACCTGCATCCTTACGACACATGCTGTATTTCAGGACTCACAGCAGCAGTTGGCAATCTCTGAGTGCAGGCCACTGGGAGGCGTAGTTTCCAGTCCGTCTCTCCATCCAGCTGGTCAGTGCGCAGGAAACAGGAGCCTGGGAAGGGAGAGGACAAGAGCTGCTACTGATGCTGAATGAAAACACATCCACCTCTAGGGGGCAACAATGGACAGGCTTTTACTTAAAGGAGGAACCTCACATCCTACATTCTTGATGATGGCACTGACAGTACAAATCACTACATTTATATTTCATGCTGAGGGCCATCTAGCCATTTCTTTATCGTGTTATTTCTTCTAATAAACATCCATTTGAAGTTACTGGCATGATCAAATACATTAAATAAGCCTATAAAACAATTTTAGCCTGGGGTCACAGATGAACTGCTGTGAATGGGACTGAACAGTTTATTAGTTGTGGAGCGATCTACCAAAGCCCATCCCCCCCACCAGCCTGCATGCATCATCCTGCCCAAAACTCCCACTCCTGGTCCCGGCCCTTCATAATTGACCTAATGGCCTCCACATGGAAGCGAGATAACCAAAGACTATTTCCAGTAAAACAAAGTTGTTGTTTTTCTTCCCCCAACAGGAAGAAGCACCAACAACAAGCACCTAGCTCTTCTTATGGAGTCACGTTTGGGTTGCTGCAGATGGGAAAATCAAACTGCCTATGGGGATTTGGGCGTGCTGTGCCTTAATGCTTGTTGTTTCAAATGCACATTGCAAGGAAATTCACCAAGTTTGTGTGATCACTGACACATGCTGTCCTAATCCATATTTGATTATTCAGATGAGGCATCCTCCTCTCATGTCTCCTGTTTTCTCTTTGTATTTGATTTCTGAGCGTCCCTCGATTTTCCTTTTCATTGTCTTCTCATTTGAATGACAAAATTAGTCGGGAGACAAAAATGAAAGGAGAGCAATTGTTTGTCTCAGTGAGTAGCGACTCTCCACCGCACCACACTTTTGAGTGACAATTTAGCGGTTACAATTTATACATTGTATGGCTTCCTGTCCTGGCTCAGGGCTAATCCCTGTACCTCAGCGCCTTTTTAAACAAGTCATTTCCCCAGCCAGCCAGGCAGCCAGCCAGCCTGTTGTGGATATGTGGATGAATGACCAGCAGATGTTTACCATTTCTTTCAGAGGTCCTTAAAAAGATCATGTCAGCAGGAACACGCTGGTTCTACAAAGAGAGGCAGAAAGAAAAACATGACTTCAACATCACATCCTGATCCTGCACTTTTCCTCCTCCCTCCTCTGGTCTTTAACTGTAGAAAACTAAGACTTTTAGCTTTTCATGTACCACATTACCAACAGTCACTCAGTCAAAATAATAAGCCCTCCAGCAAATCATCCTGTCGTGTCCCGAACAGGACCTTGCCAGATTTTACACTCTGAATGACCTGCTTCCATAGACAAACTCCCCATTCAGTTTTATCTGGAAAGCTTTCCAAAAGTTGTTCTTTGAACAGATTATTGCTAAGTGGTTGATAGTTTTAAAAAGATGTTGTATGACTCTTCAAATGCAGGCCAATTTAAGCATTCTAACTACTGGTTTCGGCTCCACATTTCTAAATAGTAACCCACATAACTCTGAATCACTGTCACATTAGTTAAATGTGTAGGACAACATGTGTGACCTTTCCCTCAGCTGCACTGAAATGAGTGATTCAGGAAGAAGCACTCAGTTGGAAACTGAAGACAGGACTGACATCTCATATTTCATGTACAAAGACCTCAGAGAATTTAGCAGGAGAGCAACACAACCGATTCCCCCCCTCCCCAATCAAAAAACAAAACTTAGACATATTAAACTACAAACTATAAATTGGATTTCAAGGGAAAAATCTTTCAATAAATAGTACTTAATTGAATTTGTGTTTAGGATCTAATTAAAGGCATTTTAGGTTCACATCTGCTTTGTATGCATTGAGTTTGACAGGCTGAAGCTCAGCATTGATCACAAGATTACAAAATCTTTACTAACTCCTTTCACCTCAGTCACCAGTGGAGCACAGAAGATTAACAACCCCCTCATTATTCGCTGTCATACAAATGGTAACATGACAGTCCTAAAAAGCAAATTCTATTCACAGATGTGGATGAAACAATCTTCAACAAACCTTTTCCACAATTATAAGATCACCAACTTGAATGCCACTGCTTTTAACCTTCACTGTGCCTGAAATATAGAACAAATTTAAAAGTTAATGAAGAGTTTTGCACGTTTGTATATTATCAGATGGTTTGCATCTGGGGTAACTATAGGGCATTTAAATTTGTCAATCACATAAACATTGACTTTGGATTTTAGTCTATAAAGTTGTGCTGATTATAAAGTAGTCTTTTATTTATTTTTTTAATCAAACATGACTTCAAAAATCCAACTTTGATGTATTCTTTGGGAGAACGGTTGTCCTGCATGCCTCACCAGTCACCTCAGTGAATTTGGGAAAGTAATTCTCCATGCAGATTTGAAAGAATGCTGGGGGAGTTGAGCCTTTTCTCTCATTCCACTTGGAACGAACGGGCAAAATTGTTTGGAAGAGATCACTGACCCTTGAACTCTGCCGTGACCTCTGGGCTTTGCATATGTAAGACATTAATATTGCTATGCAATAGGGTTCATGGGACTTCCCATTAGGGCTCTGCACCACTAATGCAATTACATTTTACACATTACTTTAGAAAAGACACATAAACAGCATTTCATTGCAGAACAAAATGTGACAAAATGGCTTATTTATCTAAAAAACACGAGGAAATGAAAGGTTTTTAATCATTATTTCAAGTAGTTGTGTTCACAAACATAGCTGTGATTTAACTAAAGTTAGACAAAATGACTGCAAACAGTTTCTTAATATGATAGAAAATATTACGCAAAGTTCTGACATCATAAAGTTTCTATTAACCACAAAATATGCACAGGGGTCGCTATCATGGAGGCAACCAGTCATTGTGTTTATGGGTAAAACAAGCTGCCACATCAAAGGGGCAAAGTGATGGAAACCACAAGAGGTCTCCTGCTTTTTATTGCTGGTAGCACTTTATACCAAGGCCTCTTATGTACACTTTTACATCTCTGCTTTGAATTACCTACCATTTCCCCTAGCCCCAATAAGCTTTAATAGGACCAACCTCCTACAGTTAATAGACGCTGATGCTGAGAAATAAGGAACACAGATATCTACACAGACAAACATGCCCGATGTTGTTTTAGTTCTTACCTCTTGTTGAAAGTTTGCTGTAAATCTGAGAGTTCACCTCTTTGTCCCGAAGGTAGCATCTTATTTCTTCAACTGCCTCCCTCATGATGGTGATAATCAAAACAAGACCCTGAAGAGTAGAAAAGTCACAATTAAAAAGTGATTCAAACAAAGCACAGAACAAACAAACTTTATGTAAGTGATAGCAGTGGAAGTTGGCAGAAAATACAGGAACCTGAATTTACACAAAAGAAACACACTGAAAAAGCACTGATCCCAAATAATGTCTGGAAACTGTAGCTAATCGACTGTAATGATTAACAGTTAGTGAAATGCCACATACCAAAGGGACCCAGTAGGTGTAGAGGGCACCTAAGCGTAACTCCTTGACAAATTGAGAGCAGGCCAAGAGCAAAAAGTACAAGTTGAAGAAGTACTTGAACTGATTGAACAGCACCTGAGAACACAAAACAAGAAAGCGCAGAGTGAAATATTTGCTGTGTGCCAAGTTATTATGTGTAATATTATACAGACATTTACCGCTGGAAAGACATCTGTGGTCTCTGTGTACTTTGTTATGCCACTTATGGCAATGTGTGTAGATGAAAGTACATATGGGCATCAATGAAAAGGACTTTAGGTATACAGACACATTTTTTTACACCACCAATTTTAACGTGTTTCATGTGACAAGTGTAACAGTGCTTCCTTTAAAATTAAAAAATATTTTAAAAGTCTCTAAAGTAGGAGAGGGTGAGCTAGAAAAAAATCCTCTGTCACTGTATAATTCTACAACTTGACATCGATACCTATACATAGCATAATTACAGTTGAAATAACAGTTCAATAATCAATTACTTGATTAACAGAATATTAATTGGCAAGTATCTGATAACCTGTTATTTGCTGTCAAGGAAAAAAATCACAAAAAAATATCCCACTGTTATGTAGATTTTTGGCGTGTTGGTAGATTTGGGTATTTTTCGCAATTTTCTGACACTTTGTGGATTCAGTTTAATCAACAAAATAACCTGCAATTGATTCATTGACAAAAAAAAATATCTGTTGTCGCAGCTCTGATATGTCACAAATATTACATTATTACCTGACTGCAATTATCTGATCCATTGGACTGTGTGATAAAAGCTGGATGAAACTGAGAGAAGTGTCATATTCTGCAGAGGTTTAACAGCACCAACTGTTTATCTCAAGGCACTTCATTTTTAATACTGCAACTGCATTTTGATGAGCACCAAACCACTGCGCCACTCTGGGTACATTTTGGTTTTATGCCAAATGAAATAAGAGAGCTCAATAACTTGGAGGACAACTCATTGGTTTTGCCGCAAAATGGTGCTTTTCACTGCTTTTGTACTATTGAATAAATAAATATATTCATAAAAATGAATAGAAGCAAAAAAAACAGAGAAAGACAGTTTAATTGTTAATCATCAACTAAAATTTAGGATCACAGCTGCCCCACTTAAAAGATTTTTCTTGGTGAATTAAACAAGAATTAAAAAGATTCTTCAAACTGATGAACGAAGAAACATACTACTATACATAATAAATTACAACACTGTCCATATTGGCTTTAAACAGCCAGAAATATTAAAAGGGATGACTACTACCATACAAGTAATGTGGCAACAATTCAGACTGCACTCACATGTGTACATTTTCACATTATATATCAACATATCACACACTCTTAGTATAAACTGTACAATTTTCAGTTAGATCTTCAAATCTTTTTATGAACCAATAGATACGGAGCAATGTGCAAACACATATAGTTGCTTTTCATCCACCAGAGTCACTCTTAAATTTAACACCCATGCTACAGCTTTGCTCAATTTCATTACCACCAGTGTGTGAGATTAGCACCGGGAGAAAACTTGTGTCTTCACATTGCTGCTTTATGACATTACCAAAACTGCAGCCAAGCGGAGACTAGAGCACAAGAAACCAGTCACAGAAACATGAAGTCTGCTATACGTTCTAGAGGAAGGAGCTTCTTGACATCAACCAACGTAAGTGAAAAGCATTACAATTTGCAATGCAAAAAACCTTTGCTCTTGTCTTTTGCTTTCCAAACAAATCTGAGCTACTTTTAATGTCTGACTCCATAAACAAAAATAAGATCTTAAGACAACTGAATGCCTAGAAAACAAATGCATATGTAAATCAGATAGGGAAAATGCAACAATCATAAACTGCTGTCCATGTAAGAAACTTTAAACCAAGGACAGAGCTGTTACTACTGTGCTCTTCTGGTAACATAAAAGTGCTTATAAGGACCTGATGCTGTGAAATAATGCAGGCGTTTGTCCAAATGTTCCTGAAACTATCCATCACCTCTTTCTTATTATTCAAAGAGTTTTAGTTCATTGTGACACACTGCTCTATTCAAAAATGGCTAATTGTCTTCTCTTACCACTTGACATGCAAACTGAAGAAAGTAATTAATATTCCATTTACAAATCAAGCCTCACATGCACATGAGGCTGATGCATTCCTATGACGGTGCAAACTGTGCATCTGTCACAAAATGCCTTATGGCGTAAGTTGAAGCAGCAGAAATGCAACCAGCATCTGTCAGAGGCATGCTGATACCTGGTTATATGGGGTCAGGCTGAGTAGAAGAAAACAAGAGAGCAGCATTTTGACTAAAGAGATGCAAAAAAAGAATAAATAAAAATACAAATAATATTATCATTTGAGGCATCTTTCTGACCTACAATTGAAAAGATACGTCCATTTATTCATTAGTTGCAGTTTATTGATAACTATTTTAGCTACTTTTCATACCAAAATGCCAAACATTTGCTGGTGCCTCATTCTTAAATGTAAGTTGTTTTTTTCTCTGTTTTATATTGTTAAAAAGATAGAAAAGTAGAATGTGAGGCAAAACCTTAGTATTTAGCCTCTAGTTTGGGTTTAGGAGGCAGAAAGCCTCCTCATTTTTATAATTTGGCTTCCAGCTTTCATTTTCGATAAAGCTTCTCCTCTCCTTCACCCTCCGTACATTTATTGGCCACCAGTGCACGTCATTACTTTGTGTCTTCTGTCTCCTCTTTCCTCTTTGTCCTTGTGCTATACTGCAGGTATCTCTGGAAGCGGACCTGCATGTTCCTGATCTGCATTTTCTGGCCTTACCAACCAGCCCAGCGTTTATTGTTGATCCCAACTCGTCTTTTCTCTTTTCACCCTTCTTCTCCCAAGTCGATAAAGACGTCTTCAGTCCTTGACCTTGGTTCTGCTCAAGGTTTCTTACTGTTACAAGGGAATCCTTCTACTTCTCTCTATTATAACACACTGTAAAGTATTTTCTTTACTGTATTAAGTACACTGAGATGCCTTGTGTTGTCAATTGGTGCTATATAAATGAAACTGAATGGAACTGAATTGATTATCTTAAGGTTTTTGGACTGTTTAAATGATTTACAGACATAAGGTCAGGGTGGTTCTACGATGCACTTTTCAGTTTTTACTGATCACTTAAAAAGAAAATAATCATTAAACAATTGGGAAAAACAGCTGTCAACTTAAATTGAAAATACCTATTAGTTGCAGTCCTGACTTGGTCAGTGAGTCACGACAACAAGCACCAACACTTTGATGACCTACATTACAAGCAGCCAGTAGGCTAGGGGTAAAAAAAAACAATAAAGCTGACTAGATTCTGGGATTATGATTCTCTGAAAATGTGTCCAATGAGCTGATAGTGAATCACAGCAGGACTAAAAGAGGTGGGTGGCTGTGGGGTTAAACAGAGGGAAGGTGAAGGGGTGACCTTTGACTGACACTAACCCCAGGCAGGAAGGTGAAGAAGTTGTACTTCTGGTTGTTAATGACATTCCTGGGGTACCTCTGCTCCCTCTTTTCTGGGTGGCCAAGCCACACGGTGCGGGGACGGAAGTCGCCCATGCCACAGCATCTCGACCACGGGCAGCACCTGAGAGGAAGAGGCACAGGAATGTTCAGAAATATCACATTTAATCTCAATGTTTGGTTCAGAAACACACATGCTGAGAAAAAGATCTTTAAAAGATCACAGAATCAGCTGATTCATGAAGGATATTTCACTCCAAAAAACTCCCTAAAACACTCAGAACCCTGTGTTGTATTTTGTAAAGCTGTAGAGATAACTCCTCCATTTTTAATAAATTGCCTGTCACATCCCTTTGTTAATGTGTTGCTTATTGCTGCCATAAACCCACCAAACAGACAAGCTAAGTTGAAAGTCCGTGACCAAAGAGTCTGACTAGATCATGCCTTACAAAATAAATATTAACTTTATCTGGAAAGACTAGTCACTCCCTTGACTCCACCTAAACCAAACATTCCATATCAATTAACTAAGAGCTCAGCGGCCTCAGAATTTAAAATTGAGCTATTCTGAACAACGTAAAATGCTGTATGTTCATGAGAATGGCTCAATTTTGTTAATGCCAACAATACTCATGGTTTTCATGGGATTGTGTATAATTAACAATGAGATCAATCCACAACTGACATAATCGTGAGTTGCAGTCCTAGTGCACATTAGGATCTAGAGATTGAACTGCCAGTTCTAGTTCCCACCTCCTGAGAATACTTCATGTTGATCTAAAATGAGTAATCTGACTGTACAAAAATGTCCAGGAGTTCCACCAAGTTCTGTTCTGAGACCTCCTTTGTTTAAAATCTATGATCCCTATAGCACAACTGAAAGAAAACACCAAAATGTTTTAGCATTGTTATACAGATGACACAAATTGAAGAAACAACACTATGAAAACCGAGGCGAAACAGAAAGCCAAATAAATTAGATTGCTATTATTTTGAAAGACTTTGTGACACGATAAGATAAGATAAGATAAGATAAGATAAGATAAGATAAGATAAGATAAGATAGAACTTTTTTTCATCCTGAGGGAATATCTTGCACCAGATGTTGCTTAGAAAAAAAGACAATAATATCAGAATAAACACAGTATCAAATAGAATAGGAAGAAAATGTAACTACAAGAGGGAAGAGGGCGAAGGCGGTGCAGTGGCATAGAAGATGGGGAAGTAGTGTGGTTTATCCCCATGCAGTCCCCTTCCTTCTGCAATACTCACGATTGTCCGCAAGACGCACAACCGTCCAAAATTTTTTTATTGCAGTCATCTTTTATTAAAAAAACATTACTAAAATAAAATAAAATAAATGGGTCACAATTTTATCAGTAAAGGCCTTTTTTTCATATCTTTTTCAGGAAAAAAAAAAAGTAAATGATGATGTGATGACTTTGTTGTGGTCTGTACCAAACAAATCATGCTCCCCTATATCAGGAGAATACAGTTTGTTGGCTGGGGCATTTCTGTAGCACCATAATTCTTCAATTACAGGAATATTTTAAGACACATTTTACCTTTGCTAAAAAAAAAAAATTCTTATGATTCAAATATCAGGTCATTCCATCTCATACCATTAAATTTGTACAACAATTTCTGCTTTGCCACATCTTATTTGACTAAAATTTCTATAGCATTACATAGATATTTATCCTTGATAACACTTGTGAAATTTTCCACAAATATACCAAAAACTTTTTTAAGGTTCCATTTTTTTTAATTGCCTATCAACCTACTTTCAGCCCTTTTAATTAATTAATTAATTTATTTTATTTTGCTCATTGAAATTTTAGACATTGTTTGCATGACATTATCTCAGAAACTATTAGATTTTTTTTTTTTTTTTTAAACTTAAATTTTCATAGTGGTTTCTCATCATGCCACTAATTCTGAATCTGCAATATTAGACAAGCAGATGCACTACTAGTCTTTGAATATAAGTGAGCTAAAATATGGGGGGAAAAAAGTCAAAGTCATCATGACAATGTCATTTAGCACACATGACCGAAAAGATGATAATGCAGAAGTCAGCTTGTGATATTTTCGGAAAACTTTGTAGTTGCATGTCACATTAACACAGAACAAGACATACTGAATGCACTTGGCCATATTGCAATTCTGATCATGTTTTAATCATTTTTTCAGTCCTACAATGCAATTTATTGTCCTGTTTTAATACATGGCAGTTTATTTTGCACTTTCTACTTTATTTTGATAATTGAAAACTTAGTTATGGACATGGTTTTGTGCTTCTTTAATATGTTGCATGTACAGTACCTTTGTCAGTGGCGATTCTACAGGGGCCTACAGGGGCCAGTGCCCTACAGGGGCCAGTGCCCCTGTGCTGACTGTGTAATAAAATGATCGCTTTATAACGATGACGTGCCAGTGCCGAAACCAAACCTGGCTCTCTGCTCTATACGATGAATTAGAGCGACGTGCCCAAATTGTAGCTCGGCTTTGCTCTCGGTGCTGTCTCCTGGACATATACCAACACGCAGTTCATTTGCAGTTGGAACATCAGCGTACTTGATGACGTCACCACCTCCGCACGGACACCACATAATGCAGGACTGTTTTATAGGACCAATGGTGAGTAAAGTAATTAACAGTATCCACCCGTGCTCAGTATAGATGGTTAACGTTACTTGTTAAATGAAATGTATGTGTAACAGGGTTAGTGGTGCAACAGTGGTTGTGCGTTAAATATAAAAATGTATTATTGTATTAGTAATATGTAATATACACTACCAGTTTACCAAACAGCACAACCACCATAACCTGTTGCTGTAGTTTGATTTTGAATGGCAGCAAACCAAACCACTTATGTTACCTATGACGAATTTTAAATGTTCCTTATGGTAAATGGTAAATAGTCTGCTTTTTTCTACCTTTGTGGTATCCAAAGCTTTACCATGTGTTTGTCATTCCCCCATTCACACACATTCATACACCAGTGGCGACAGAGATGCCTTGCAAGGTGCTGCCTGATTTCAGGTTCACTGTCTTGCCCAAGGACACTTTGACTGTGGAGGGGCGGGGGATCAAACCGCCAACCTTGCAATTGGAGGACCACAGCCGCCTTATGTGCCTTATGTGACAAATTTCAACACTGGGCCTTATAACCAGTGTAATTGTTTCAGTTAAACATTTGTTTAATTTTAATATGGAGTAAATACAAGTTTTTAGTGCTTAAATATTTATTCATTTTATTTTACCTTTATTTTACCAGGTAAAAACGTCTGAGAACCAGTTCTCATTTGCAAACATGACCTGGCCAAGAGGCACCAGCAGAAACAAATACACATGTAAATTACAGGCACAAACAGACACATAACAAACAAGTAAGAAGCATGGGAGCATACAGTTGTCCTCAAATTTAGTCATATCCTCCCATGAAAGAAGGAAAAAACAGCTGTCACTAAAATAAGTTGGAATTTACAAAAGTAATAAATAAATTAATGGAAATCATGGCATTGCTTTTGAATTGTGGTTCAACACAAATTTTTAAATAAATATATATATATATATATATTTAGATTGTCTAGAACCGCCACTGAAACCTGTGTAGCATTGCTTTGCTCCCCTATAGGTGCAGGTTGGACAGGTGTATCGGATGCACTGACGGTCCAGGATTGACTATATGTGATGCTAGTAACTGTAAATCATGCACTGGTGAGCCGTGCATGTGTGCAGGCCAGCATTAGTGCATCACCACAGCCCATCTGCAGCTTGAACTCCTTACTGACGGTGACATCATGCTAGCCCGGTCAGGCTACTGGCTGCATGTCAGCACTGTGCTTCTCCATCATCATCATCATTTCTGAGGCCTTCCCCCTTGGTGTGAAAAAAACAACACCCCCACGGAGCATCATATCATCACCATGTGAATTCAAGGACAAGTTTCTCTGAGAGATTCCTGCTCTTCGACACGCTGAGCTCATGTCGGTCGAGCAAATATTGACACGGGCGTCAAATGCACTTGTTCCAGCAACACCCCGGAACAAGGATGTCTCATACTGCTCCGGCTAACGCTGTTAGCTGTTTTATGCTAAATAAAAGCCCATATCATATTTTAATAGCAGAAAATGTATGCTAGCTTACTGTTCTCCTCGTTTTATGACCATAGAAACGAGGCTAGCTAGCATAATGTAGCCACTGTAGCTCCCGTGAAACAATTTATCGGCCAAACAGACAACAGCAACGGACAAAAAAAAAACAAAACACGTAAACAAATGGCTTCCCGTTAATATCACGGTGCCGGATAAACGCCCTTACCCATTCCTGTGTTTGCCGTCGTGTCGCTTCGGTCGCCTGACAGGCTGTAGCGGGATATTGTCGGTCATTCCTGCAGCCCCCTGGTAGCGGGTGTCGGCGAGCGGCAGGCAGCCCGGCAGGAGCGGTTCTGGGCGGAGGCTTCACGGCTGTCAGTCACGCAATGACGGTTCAACAGTCAGCAGGTCACCGGCACAGCCAACACAAGACCCAACACAAACCCCCGGCTCACCGAGACACTGACACACTTCTAGACTTTTCTTTTTAACATTTATTTCTTCATTTCTAAGCCACTCTATAAACTGCTTTTTGGGACCAGCAGTCGTGGAAAGTAACATAGACACAAGAAGAATCCCAGAATTATACATATAACCCAGAAGGAGAGACAAACAACCAAAAATTAGGTGTAACAGACCTAAAAGACATTTAAATTAAGAGCATACAGAGATTAAATAAAGAAACAAAGAGATACAAAACAACCATAAAAGGTATGAGATGCTAAATGTCCCAAATGTGGCACAAAAGACCAACAAAGAGTTGACAAATGACCAAAATGTGACACAGATAAAAGTGCAACGCAAATAACCACAAAGAGATATGAAGCGGCCAAAATAAATAAAATAATCGAAATGTGACACAAAATGACCTCAGAGAGACACAGAATGACTACAAAGAAGTGGAAAAAAGCAACCAGAATGTGACAGAACATTATCAAAAGCAAACGGCCACAAAGAGATGCAAACCCCCCAAAATTGAGCATAGTGTAGTACAAAATGAGACACAAAACAACCATAAAGAGATATGAGATGCTAAATGTCCCAAATGTGACACAGGACTAAAAATTAAATGCAAAGAACCACAAAAAGATACAAAACAGCCAAAATGAGGCCTAAAATAACCCAAATGTGACACAAAATTTCCTCAAAGAGACAAAGAATGGCTACAAAGAGGTAAAAAAAACAAAAAAACAATCAGAATATGACAGAACATTATCCACCATCTCAGATTTTAAATCATTACATTATTTTGGCTGAATTTTAAGAATTTTACATGTTTTTAGACCTGGGAATTGTTGTATTTTTACAGTCAAGACAAACACGTAATTTAATGGGTTTAACAGTCACACAAGACCCACAGCCATGAAATTTGCCGTCATTCACATGAGCTGAGGCAATTTGAATTATCGTCAGTTTCTCTGTTCAGTGTTTATTTCAAGTATGTATATGGGAACATTCAGTTAGGCAAAATGAGCCTCATATGTTGTCAAATTTCAACATGAAGAAAACATGGAAGCAACTTGTTCCTTCACACATCTAATGACATCATGTGGGCCGCCATGCACACCAGTTTTTGAGTCATATCACCATTTTGACATGACAAAATAGGAACATTGGCCTACTGTCCTACATCAGATTCTACTGATGTCAGAGGTCTAGCAATGCCTGCATTTTTATGGCTATATATATATATATATATATATATATATATATGTTGTCTGAGTCCTCACTAAATGTTTTGGGCTGTGGGACAACAAGGAGAGTGGGTGGATGTACACTACTCTAGCAAAGTGTCCTATTTGTATAATACCTATAATTACATTTGCATGCCACAACCTTGGCCACAGTCTGTGATCTGGGCAGAGACAGAGCACAATTTGTTATTATGATTTGGGGTGACCACCACTGTGAAAATAAGCAAGTATGGACTTCCATGTTTCTATTCTGTACCAGGTTTCAGTTTTATGAATAAAATCCTTAAGTTTAATTTTGTGTTAGTACTTTTGTGAATGTGTGTTTTGTGTCTAATGCATCACAAAAACAGCATCAGAATGAACCACTGGCTGGACAACTAGTCTCAACAAAAATGTAATATCTGTATTTATTGCAGTGCTGTGTTGTTGCAGCACAGGTTTTTCTGCATTTCTGCTCACCAACTGTATGCCTGAAACTCCTTGTGTCCTATAAGGACAAATATTCAAAGCATCGCATCATGTCTGAAATGTAAAGGAGGAAGTCTCGGTGCAGTCAACCTAAAATGGATTAAGGACACACGATCTGACAGCATGCTTCAGTTGTGGATGCAAATGTTTTTTTGAGAATGCAAAAAGGCAGGGATTAATGGCTTCTGGTGGATAATAAAAATAGAAAAAAAGGATTTCACCAGAGTCATCTGAAGGTGAACAGATGTAAATGAGGGATTTTATGTGCATTCAGACTGGCCTGGGCCGGCACAGAAATTAGCCTGAGGGTAGGGTACATTTCAGTTGTCTAACCCATGCAGTTGGAGACTGTTTATGTCCTCTGTCCACTCAAACTGCTTTGCCTGTCTGTGAAGTAATGACAGAAACGATGTTGAAAAAGTCACCCTGATTTTATTTTTGAAAATCAGAAAACATTTATGTGAAGGAAACATCTCAAAAAGATAAACCAAAACAAAAAAACAACATTTACATTGTAAACAGATCAAATTGGCTCAACATTACTTGAACAGTCGAGACAACTTGAAAGCAGTTCTGACATGGTTTGCTAAAGAAAGGCACAATTTGGCAAATGCATATCGATAAGGAATGTACAGCAGGGGCCTACAAAGTACTCTGACCATTCTAATTGTGTAAAGTGTCCAGTGATACATTCATTACTGTTCAACTCAGCAGGTTGAGAATGAAAAATCTTGTCGCACACCCAGAATAAGAATGTATCGGAAAATGTACAGAGCATTGCATTGAGTGTAAGGGGCATGGGGGACAACTAAAATCTAAACGAGGTAGAACTCACCCCCTAAACTCAAGCATTTTGTGTATTAGAAATAAATTAATGATGCTACAAGTTGATAAGATAACCTAGACAAAAAAAAGCCTGACAGTTAGTAGTAGAAATGGTAGGAAATGGTAGGAAGGAAATGTTGACAAAATTGTAGATTTGCCCTCTCTCCTTTCTAGCCAAGACAATAAAATCAGTGAAATGTAAATGCAACAAAAACCTGAAATAAAGTGCGGGCATGAGAACATTAAGCATACGACAGGCTTCAGAGCTCAGCCAACTAAATTTTGGCTCGTAGATTTAGAGGTGGAATATATGGGTCGAAAAATTGTCTTTAGTGAACTGACAAAAATATGAACTACATACCACAACACATGGTACAACACGCAAAAGCCTTTGTAGCAACGTTTAGTTCAGAGTAGGCACTTGGCAAAAAGGTACGAGTTGTCAACTACTGTATCTTGGCACCAATGCAACAAAACATGTCGTTACCTACAACTTCTAAAACTCTGGTGCACCTTGATTTAAGAGGCAGGGCAATGGAATAATGTGTCAGTCTGATCAAAAGCCCCTTCAAAATGAGACAAGCAAATGACATTTACCATTACAAAAATGTACAATGTCATAAAACCAACGGCACACAACAGGAGGGAAAGTAGTCATTATAGACACATATGGTAAACTACAATATTATTTCTGAACACTGAGACCACATCCTGACTGGTCTCCTTAAAACTCACGCCCTGAAACTTTTCCTATTTAAGTCAACATCCTTCAAAAAGTATCAAGAAGACAGTCTGAATTAAAGCAGTTTCAAGTAAGTTATACATTCAAACTTGTGGATAGAGAGCAAAATACCAACAAACAAACAAAAACAAAGTCACAGGAAAAAATACCCGCATATATATTTATATAAAATAAAACTACAGTAGTTATATCAGTTTCAACTAAAAATAACACTTGAGGAGAGTTGATCAGAAGGAGAGAGAGCTGCAACGATGTTACTAGAAAAATTCAAACAATCTAAGTGGAATTCTACAAAGATTTTTCGGAATATTGATTGTACCTCATTCAACAAAAAAAAAAAAAAAAAAGACGTGAGGAGAGTTGATCAGAAGGAGAGAGAGCTGCAACGATGTTACTAGAAAAATTCAAACAATCTAAGTGGAATTCTACAAAGATTTTTCGGAATATTGATTGTACCTCATTCAACAAAAAAAAAAAAAAAGGGAGACGTCTCACAAACTGAACAGAAGTGATTACCTGATGAAAAAAACAAACTAATTAACTGCAATTTTACCCTCCTCCATGAAATGTGGGAACTGGGATTTTGGCACACTGTCGGAGCTGTTCTTCTCAATTTCAGCCATGGAGGCAGGCAGGCCAGAGTGGGATCCATCCATCTTCATGAGGCCTCCGGTGGATCCGATCAGAGGGCCACCGGCAGGACTCCCCGGCAGCGGGACGCCACCTCCCTGGATAACAGAAATCTCATTGGTCTTCATAGTCAGGCCGCCGCTGAAGGCAGCAGCGTACTGGTTCCACAGAGATGGGTCAAAGTTGATTGGTGGAGTCCCCAGCTCTTTGGGGGCCTGCATGATCTCTGGCAGCATCTTCGCCTCGGAGCTCATTGCCATCAGTGCCATGGGATTATCCAGAGACAGACGCTGGCCGCGCCGTGATGAGTTGTTCCACATGTGGGTACCAATATGCACCTAAAAAACAAGCACAAGTTAAATTATAATCCCATTAACACATTATTAAAGATTACCAACTTCACTTAAAGTGGTCTATTCAACAGACAACGCCTCACCTTTAGATTTCCCTTGGTGGTGAAAGCCCTGCCACAGATGTTGCAGGCAAAGGGCTTCTCCCCGGTGTGAGTGCGCTCGTGGATCTGCAAGGCGCTGGCCGATGAGAAGTTCTTGCCACAAGCGTTGCACATGTGCTGCTTGGTTGATCGGCGTGGTGCAGGGGAGATAGAGGGCATGGCTGTTCCCTGAGGCATATGGGAGCTGAACAAACTGTGAGACCCCAGAGGATTCTCCGGAGGAATCTTCATCTCCAGACTGGCCAGACTCGATGGTATCCTCATGAAAGACATGTTGCTGGGAGCTGTTGATACAAAAAGTGCAAAATTAGATCTATGCATTCAGTACGAGAGCCTCTTACACACTTTCAACTATTAAACTCACCATATTCTCCATTTGTATACAGCATCCCAGGTTCTTCCTTAATCGCTTTGGGAGTGAAGCTGCTGGAAGCGGTGAGGTCAAGAGCTCCACTTGACTCAGTTCCCTCTTGAGCACCATCAGACTCTGGTTTTGGCCCATTTGGGGCAAATTCATCAACAGCACGCTCAGGAGACTTGTTTGCGATGTTGTTCACTGGGGAAGAGGAGTGAAATAATGGGGCCGAGTCAGAAATTGCAGGACTGCGACCATTCTGATATTCCTGCTCTCTGGGAGCTGGTGGAGATTCTTTGGATGTTCCCTCGCTCTCCGAAGTGGTGCTACTCTGTCTTTTCAGTGCAAGAGCGGAGGTGAGATTCTTCAAAACATCGAGGCTGGAAAACACTGCAGGGGCTGCGAGCTTCTGTGGCTGTTCCTCAGAGGCAGACGGGAGTGAATCCGAGGTATCATTTGGCTTCTGGGAGTTCTGCTCCAGCTCGTGTTCTTCCATGCTTTCTTCAAACTCATTGGCATCCACTGGTTTCTCCTCTGGCAGGGATGGCTCCATTGCTTCTGCTGCTGCTTCAAACTGGTTTTCTGGCATTGGGGTGTTGGGGATCTGTCCACCCATGTGCATGCGAATGTGCTGCTGAAGAACCACAGCATTGGTGAATTTCTTCTGGCAGATGGGACATGAGTGCTGCATTTTAAGAGGAGTGTTGGCCCTGTGCACTCCATAATGAGCCTTGAGGTTGCCTTTTGTAGAGAATGCACGGCCACAAATTTTGCACTTGTAGGGCCTTTCACCGGTGTGTGTGCGGTAATGCATTTTGAGCGAGCTCTGGCAGCTGAGCACCCTGTGGCAGATCACACACTCATTAGGGTCGTTGGTCCTCTTTTCCAGGCCATCCACCATCTGCTGAAGTTTCGCTGTTCCAGAACTTTGTTCTCCTGTGAGGGCATTACCGTTCATATGATGCAGCGCTCCAAGCAGCTCTTTAGCGTCCTTCTGGTTGGGATCCAGTCCCATTTCTTGGCCAAACACAGACGGGGAGCAGTCACTTGTTGATGGGGAGGGCCTCTGGGAAAATGGGTCGCTCCCAAAACCATCAAACGTTTTGAATCCTGGTATGGACGACGGGTTGAACCCAGCAGCTGGGTGACCTAGCATGGGCTTAATGTCAGTCAGGTTTGACTCCTCCATGGGGACAGACATACCAAAGGGAATGCCACTGCTGGTGGGAATATTGTCAAGGTGCTCTGGTACAGGATGAGGATTCATGCTGATGTTAGGATATTTATCCTTATGCCTTTGGAAATGCACTTTGAGGTTTCCTTTGGTGGTGAAGCGGTTTCCACAGATGTTACACTTGAAGGGCCTCTCTCCAGTGTGAGAACGCAGGTGAATCTGGAGGGCACTGTCATTGCCAAAGGTCTTTCCGCAGTATCTACACTTGTGCTTGTATAGTGAGTCCCCATTTTTTGATTCCGGTGGGGGGTTCAGCATCTTCGTCTTCACTTTTTTAGACGACTCAATTCCTGCTTGCATCCCACTAAAGGTGCTTGGGAAACCCATGACGACTGGTGACTGAGGCAGTAGGGCTGGTAAACGGCTGGCCAGATCAGGAACGCCCTTCAAAATGTCTGATTTAGAATTCATTGAGCCCAGTCCTGCACTCAGAGAGGTAGGGATGCCAGGGGGGAGAGGTAGTTTACCTTGCTTCATCGTCTCCATGGAGAGGCTCTGACTGCCGGTCCTTTTTCCGATGAGAGCTGCTGCAGCAGACAGCTGTTGAGAGAGATGCGCACCAAGGGCTTTCAGGGGGTCCATCGCTGCCCCTACAGGTGACTGGAGACCCTGTGGTGTCATCATTGCTACTTGGATTCTGATCTGTTCTGTGAGCTGGATTTGCTGTAGCTGCTGTTGCTGGAGGCACACTAGCTGTTCCAAGATGACCGGGATGGCCTGAAGGGCTTCCTTTGACGTACTCAGAGATAGATTTGAAGAATGTTGGGAGACAGCTGCGTTAGTGTCAGCAATGGGTTCGAGTGTGACATTTGAATCATGCATTTTGGGCGAGTGGTGGAAAGCCATGTCAGGACTAGCAGACACGTCTCCATGATCCTGTTGTCCTGAGTCCTCTGCATTCATGCTGGACTCCTCCTCTGCTCTGTCCAGCTGCTCTGCGGTGGCATGAGATAGGGAATGACTGCTGGACTGACTGTCGTCGTGGTCACTGCCGAGGCCTTCAGGAGAACCTTGTGAATATTCCTCTGGCACGTCATTGCCGTCTCCGTCTTTCATGATGACTACTTGCTGGCTTTTAGTGCAATTTGTCTCATGCTCAAGGAATTCTGCTTCATCGAAGAATTCTGCACAACATTTCTTGCAGATTCTCGTCTCGTCCATTCTGAGCCGCTTCATTTCATTTCCAGTCTCTTCAGATTGATCATCTCGATGACTCTCTTAAGAGAAAGAAGAGAGAAAAAAAGGGTTTAAATAAAGGCTCTTCATACAGTTACATAAAGTGATAAAACCAAACTGAAAAAAAGGCAACAGAAAATAAATTGCTAAATATACAGACTTGAGAGCCTTCAAGTTGTTGTTTTGAGTGTGTTGAGATAAAAGTAATTGATAAGAGCAACAGTCCTACAGAAGAATAATAGCCCTGTAATATATTTCTTTTTGAGGATGTGTCAAGATGTTTGTTGGATCACAAAATCTTGCAATATGTTCCTGATATTTTGTGTACTCTACAAGCCACTACACAGAGCTTTGAATTTATTTGCCTTTTGTCCACAGGGCCAGCAGAGGGCAACCATCTGCCTTTGACAGTACACAAAACAACAAAGACAAAGAGCTGTAAATTGGGCATTAAATTACTGGTTGTGAAATGACAATCCAACAACTTGCTCAAAGTTAAAGAAAAAAAAAAAAACTTGTGTCCAATACCAATCAAATTAAAATCCATTAAATGTTAATCTTGATTCAACAACAAACCACAAATATCAAACTTTAAGATGAAATTTAAGGTCTCAGTTTGCATCAAGTACCATTGTTTTTCCAGCCAAGAATTTAAAGACTACATTTACAATACAAAGCTGCTGAGGGGGTGGGGTGGGGGGTGGGATATAAAAGAAAAGTGTAAGTATAATGCTGATTACCTTGAAGCTTTTTTTCCACAGCCTGATGTGTGCATTTTAATTTGTCTGCTAACCAAGGGGCCATTTCACAACTGGGTGCATTGTTAAATGCTAATGCCTGTGAGGAAGGGGGGTAGACCACCTGTTTGCATTTGCCCAAGGAAAACTACTGGACTTGTTAATTGCTCACCAGGAGGTAGTGAAGCAGTGTCACGAAAAGGGTGCATTAAATTCGTATCCATGAGGAGACACTAGGTATGGCTCTGCCGTCCCCCCACATTTGCGCACTGTAAAGCTGACAAGATCTTATTTGACCAGCTTACAAAGCAACAGCGTGCATATGATGTAATTAAATAATGCTTAAAACATGTTATCTTTGCTAATCATTCAACAACCCCCACCCCCGCATCTCTCCATTATCGAGCACATACAGGAGGCAGCGCACCCGGTTTGCCACTTGACGGCGCATGACCTGTATGTGATCACCTTTAGTGGGGTACATGACACGAGGTCAGACTCAACATTCAACTTATGCGCTCTAGATTAGTAATATTTCATCATTTAAAGGTTTTACGCGGCACATGTACATCCGAGCCGCTAAGAAAGAAGGAGAAACTAAAGTTTCCTCATTACGAGGTGAGGTCTCCGGCATCGCTGCTGCTGCTTGCATATGGCAACACCAAAACGCACCCCCACCCAGTCTCCACAAAAAGGCCACTGCTCCATCCCCCACCTCTCCACATATGTACGAAAGGAAACAGTCATGCATTAAACTGGGGGATTTATTGCCTTTAGGTCAGCTTACTCCAGACTCACATTTCATACAGTTTTTTGGGCACCTTTGTTAGAATCTCCTATTTTGAACGCACACTTGCACACACTGGGTTAAACAGCAACAGCCAAACACACTAGGTTTAACTAGAAATAGTGAAAAGATAAGCGATTAAGAGAACATGACACTAACCGATGATAAATGTAACAATGCCCAATTGTAACCAGTCAAAAGACGCACTCATATTTTCTAGATGCGTTTTCCACCAGTGAAGGGTTCATGTTAAATAAAGCCAGCTATTAATGAAATAAAAGAGAAAAGTTAAAGCTGAGAAACCTTCTAAGCAGCCGAGGCAGTAATTCTTTGCCACGCAACTTACCAAGTAACCAAATTCTACAATGTGCCAAAAAAAAAGAACCAACAGGTACCAACACACGCCTCTATGAATCCAAAAAAGTTAACAGGAGGTTCACGATCCTGAATTCTGCCCACGAAGCAACTCCGAGGTATCAGTTTGGATAAAACTGATGGATACACGTAAATCAATCACATCAAAAGTTACAAGAAACAAGATACGATCTTTGAGTTAAAAGTACAGCCTCAAAATGTTGCTTTTTTTGGAAGCGACCCTCGCGGAAACACCTGATTTCTCAATGTGTCGCTTCCGAGGTCTGCGGCTAAGTTTTTAATTCCTGGTCAATTCAAAAGGACAGCAACAGGTCAAAGTGTAAAAAGCCAGACCCCAAAGTTTTGAGATTAAAAAAAAAATGTCGAAAAGTTAGCAGAACAGCATGGCGGGGATTGCGTGTTCAATACGAGTGGGGGACCAACAGCCGCGTATCTTATGCGTAAAACTTACCATTTTCTGCGGATCCGGGCTCGTCGGAGTTGATGTGCTGCGGTTTGGCTTGCTTGCGCCTCGACATGGTGCAACCATCAGGAGCAAAGAGTTACAGACAATTTTCCTCCCCTTCTTCAACAAATTCTTCGGCTCGGGAAAATTAGCCCCTCAAGTAGAAATGCGCATGTCAACGTAATTATTATTATCAATAATGCATTGCGATTTATCACAGGCCCCTGACAGCTGATTGGCTCCAGTCCAAGTGCTCACACATTATTCAAATGTGCTCCCTATTGATGAGCGCAGCGCAGTGCCAGGAGGGGGCGGGAGGAGCCCTGCGAGTGGCCGGACTGCAGGATGGAGGCTGGGTTAATAACAGCCAACTGGTCGCTCCTTTCCTCGTTCATGAAACAAATATGTTGCCACCGACAGGCACAAGCGAGCCAAACATCAGTCAAACATGTTTGTCTTGACTTGTGGGCCACTTACATCCAAAAACGTTCAAAACTTCAAACGTGGAATCATCATTATTACATTGCCGATTGTGCGTAAATGTGGCATATATTTTATTTACGGGTTGTGTGTGAGTACTGCCCATCACTTTTAAGGAAACTCATATTTTAGCCTTCTCCAAATGTCTTTCCAAACACATGCGATCTAACAGTGCTGCAGAAAACTCAATTTGCCTACACACATATGGCATCACAACAATGTTTGTATTCGTGGTATAAATGTTCATCTTATTTCCTCCACATACAAAAAGTTGAAGCAGTTCTGTACAAGAGTGTACAGTAAAGGAGGTTTCATACATTTTTTTGATTTACAAAAGTATTAAAATACACAGGAGACATTTCAGCATTCACAGTAAACAGCACCAAACATGAAATAAATGTGAAATCTGGGATATTAGAATGGATAAGAAAAGAAAACATGTTTTATAAAACAGCATTTGCAGCAGTCATTTTGGCCGGAAGCTTTAAATAATCTTATTTATTTATGTCACTGTTCTAAAATCGTAGTATTTAAGACAAAACTTGCTAAACTATTTTGAGTGTGTATGTTAATGTAAACAATAAAAAAGCCATTATGGTGATTTTTCTTTTTCTTTTTTGCAAGAAAAAAAAGTGACATCCCTAACTAGTGTGAAACATTACCCACTTGGAGTGATGCATAATTGATGAAAGAGACTGAATTTACGTCTCCTTACTGACCCAAATATACTCTTATGTCAGAACAAAATGATATAAATGGGGCTGAAGAAGAAAAAAGAAAATCAAGTAGGAATCAAGAAGATGCTGGAATTATTTTTAGATTGGTGTTTCTGACATAGTTGCTGTTTTTTTCCCCCAAAACAGCCCAGAAAGTTCTCCACACATCACAAAGGAGAATTTACAGCCTTTATCACTGCAGTGCACAGTGGTCACCTGCTGCATGTTAGTATCGTATCACACAACAACAACAACACAACAAGTTCACACAGATTTTCCATCTCCAGCTGCAATGTGAAGTTTCTGACATGTTCAGTGGGTCCGTGTCACTGCGGTGTACACTATACTAATGATGTAGTGTGTAGGACCCACAGTGCGTCTTCTTTGTTCCTCTCCTTATGCTGACAGGAACTTATTTTTGGAACATGGCATACCAAAGACATACCAAGCTGTTTGAATGCTGCTGAACAGACACTGAGGGGTCGGTCAAGATCCCAGAAGTGTGGGAAAACTCTATTATGGAGTCGTTTTTTGTTTTTTTTGTTGTTGTTTTTTTTATGTAAAAGGTGTAGACCAGAAAAGAAAAAAAACACTGTTGTGATGGAACATGAATGACATTCTACATAAAACTCCTCCTGTGGCCAAAACATTGAGGATTCAGAGGGGATTAAAGTGTTCACAGAAGCAGAACAGACGCACAGAAAGTCCCCCAGAATAATACAGAAAAATAACTCTATTGAGCAAGTCTTGGCAACTTTATACTTTACTGATATTTAAACTTTAAAATGACTTCAAAAGGTTGACTGTGAGGCAATTCTGACGTGAAAACAAACGTGTGAAAAAAAATCAAAGCAATGAAGGTTAAATTCAAGGTTCAGACTGAAGCATAATCATTAATTCTCTAAAGTGAGGTTTGCATTGTTTTCTCTTTGTTTGATGCCATTTTTAACTGAATCTCATGTCGTTTTTTTTTTGTTGCAAGTCTAAGAAAATAAATTTAAAACTCCACTTTTGTTTTGGTAATTTAATGAGAACATTTGCCGTAATTTTGACTTCATACTTTATTTTTTACAACAATCAATTGGCCACATGAATGAAAGAGGGATTCATATATCAGCTGAGAATTTCCATTTAAGAGAGGAAAATCTATCACTTAAATGAGCTGTTAGACATGAGTATGAATTGAGAGAAACTGCAGTATGGAAAGTTTATGTGATGTGGGCTTTTCTGCCGTTTTCTTTTGCAGGCTAAAATGCCTCAGCGTGTGTTATATAATGCCACAGCTGATAAGTGTGAGACAAAGACATGGCAATATATTCAGATAAACAAATGCCCTTTAAGGGACTGGCTGAAGGTGAAAAAGAGGGGAGTGCTGTCTAGACAGTTTATTGCCCCAATAAGAAACTATACTTGAATACACTGTTTCTTTTACGTTCAATCTAAACAACTCAAACTGTGCACAGTTGTAAAGCTGCAGTTGTGGGAAACAGAGGAATGTCAGCTTATATGACCAGATCCTTTTGAAAACTAAGAAATAAGGCTGGGAAGAAATTCTGAAATAATAATAAAACAAACTGCTGAATTATGAAATCAAAAAAAAAAAAAAAAGGTTTTCACCTCAGCACAAAGAATCTATAGAGAAAGACATTCACCTCCTGCAGTGTTCATGTATTTTGTAAAAAAAAAAAAAAAAATAAGAAGAAATTCTGAAAATAATAATAAAAAAACTGGCCTAATATAAAAATCAAAAAAAAAAAAAAAGGTTTTCACCTCAGCACAAAGAATCTATAGAGAAAGACATTCACCTCCTGCAGTGTTCATGTATTTTGTAAAAAAAAAAAAAAAAAAAAAAGCAGTACACCACACAGATAAATAGATCCTTGGCTTTTTGTTATTTCTTTGCTGCTCGGATTCATTCTGATCATTCTGTGCTGCCAGTGTCAGTTATGTCATTCCTGAAAAAGGAGAAACAAATGGTGAAGTGAAGGCGAGCACAAGAAGCAAACTTAATACAACATCCTTGACCAGGTCATGTGTGTGACAATAGCGACAGAGAGAACACATAAATGGCCAGCAGTGCAGTTTGAAAACAGCCTCGAAACTGTAATTATAGGGCCATGATTTTTTTTTCTATATCCTGGCCTTATTCTGATTCCCTCTGGAGTTTACACAACATTAGATGGAGAGATGTTAAGTTTGTCAGATGTGTCACTTGTCGAGCTTTACTCTGATCCCGCAGTGGACAAACAATAACGGCACAACACTTTTATTATATGGAAGGAGAGAAATCCATCTCCTGCGCCAATCTTGTTTTGTAAAAAGCAATACAGCACACAGACATATGGATCCTTCACTGTTTTTCTTGCCTTTTGTTAAATTTATTTTTGCTTGCCGCCTGCCAAGATGCTTTGTCATGATTTTGTGTTGGTCAATGCCAGTTATGTGATTTTTTATTTGATTTTTTAAGTAAAGAGACAAACTGTTGAAATGGCAGTGAGCTCAGAAAACAAAGACATTACTGGCGTCCCTGACCAGGTCATGAATCTGACAATAATGAATCTACAACGGTGACAGAAGGCCTCATAAATGGCCAAACAGGGCAGTCTCAGAGCAACCTTTGGGCAGCAGGATTATTTTCTTGGCTTCATTTTGATTCCTTCTGGAGTTTGTACAGCAGAAGCGCTGCAAGAGACATGCAACCTCTAAGATGTGTCGCTTCTGGAGCTTTACGATGACCTTGCGGTGGACAAACAATAACACCCCAACACTTGCTGAGGAATTGTGAATAGAACATGTGTTTTTTAGGACTCAGTAAAAGATGAAAGGCGCAGCCCGACTTGGGAAGGATGAGCTATTTCACGTCAGTGTGACAATCAGCGCTGTTCTCAAAACAAGACAGATTTTCGTGAAAGGTGTCTGCTTCACTCATCCTTTTTTGTTGTTGCTGTTGTCAGTTGTTAAAATCATTTGAATGGAAGCTTCCTAAATGAAACTAAAACAACTCAAAGCACACTGAATTTTGATTTTTGCTTCTCTGTTTGGATTTTTGACCCTCACTGTGCAATATTCTCTGTCTAGTCTAAGACACAGTTTTTACTTTTATCTGCAAAGGAAACCCAATTTTAATCCTGTCTAACTTCCTACACCTAGTTTTAGAGAATGGGTTAAAAAAAAAACCCAGCTCATTTGACATTAAATTAAAATGTACAAATAAATAATGTCTTGCCAGAAAGTTCCCAATGAAAGCATCAGAAACATAATAATTTAGTTGAAAAAACTACCTGTGGCTGTATCTCTACATGCAAAGGACACTTTAGGGTTGGAAACATAATTCCAATACCAGCTGTTTCAGATCTGATGGCGATATCAGCAGTGTGCATGAAAATGAGAAATTATGACCACAGGGTGAATCAAGACAAAACATACTTTGATAGTTTCTGCGTGTGTCAGGCTCCGGCAAACATCCAAAGTAAAAGTTTGGTCATCATATGCAACTTTTTGAGATTCTACCCTCTTCTGACTACACCACATTGGTCTCTGTTTATCAAAGAGTTAAGATTTAGGCAGGGAAGAAACACAAAACTTGTCCCAGCAGAGTTAAATGCATTATTCTGTGACATTGCAGCAAGCTTTTGTGCAATTTGTGATATAGAAACATGAAACCTCCTTTCAATGTATACATGAATGTGTTTCAGTATTCAGAACAAAGGCGACCTGATGAAAATATGAAGACTTAATTTACAAAAACAGATAAGTCCATCTTCACAAACTTTCAGAAAACTCACTTTTCTATCGTCTACCTGAGACGATATCAAACTAAAGTTATCTCTGCTTTTGTCATGTCATTTCTATTGAGTCAAATCCACTCAACTTCAGT